CTGCAGGTGGACAGGATCACACAAATGCAAGAGATTGCCTTGGGCCTCGGGATCCTGAGTGTTGACCAGGGAGGCCGGTGGCTACCTTGTTTCTAGAGATGATACATTTAGGGATGAGGGAGGAGGGTTAAAAGGTGCAGTAAGGTGTATGTGTTAAGCCTGTTTTTTTGTTAACTCAATAGGGTCTCATGTAGTCTAGGCTGAGGTCCTTCCTTGACGTCACTGTGTGGCTAAGGGTGACCTTGAGCTTCTGATTCTGCCACCTCTGAACCTTGAGGGCTGGGATCACAGGACGGCACCACCATGCTTGGTTCATTCCCTGCTTGGTGATTGGATCTGGGATTTCTTTCTTGCTGGGAAGCACTCTGCCACCTGAGCCACAACGCCCCAGCCATTGAACTGACATTGTTTTTTGTTTATTTATTATCTTTAATTATGTGTCTGTGGGTGTGGTCTGCACATGGGTATGCAAATGCCATACCCAATGAGGTCAGAGGCATTAGATCCACTGGAGCTGGAGCTGCAGGCAGTTGTGAGTCACCTGATATGGGGTGTGCTGAGAGCTGAATTCTGAAAGCAGTGAGTGCTCTTAACTGCTAAGGGTCCTTCCAGCCCTTAAGGTTTGTTTTTGTTTTCTGGTTTTTTTTTTTTTTGGTTCTTTTATTTGTTTGTTTGTTTGTTTGGAGACAGGGTGTCTCTGTGTAACTTTGGAGTCTCTCCTGGCACTCGCTCTGTAGACCAGGCTGGCCTCAAACTCATGGAGATCCACCTGCCTCTGCCTCCTGAGTGCTGGGATTAAGCATGCGTGCCACCACCAACGCCTGGCCTTAAGTTTGCTTTTAGTCCGTATGTCTAGGAAGTCTTTTCTTCTCACATGTCTCTCTTCCTCCCTTCTTCCCTCTCTGCTTCCCTTTTTCTTTTTTGGTCTTGTTACAAGGAAGTCTGCATGGCAAGAAACTAAAAGTGAGTAAACTTCTCAAAAAGAAGTCAGGTAAATATCCATAGACCATTTACTCGGCAATCAATGGCAGCCACTATAGTTCACTGACCCCACAGCTGACTTAAGGAATGCTGTCTTATGGACCATTTTGTTCCATGGGTACTTTCCTCTGCATTATTTTATAAACATTATTTATTAATTTTAATAGGCAACAGGGACTCTGACCTTGAGGATGGGAAAGAGATCAGGACTTTAATAGAAATAACTTTCTTAGGCAGTCTCAGGTAGCCAAGAAGAAAATGGAGGTCCCACTTAAAATTAAATTCGTTCGCTTGTTCATTCTTGGAATTGAACCTAGGGCCTCCTCCTATATGTTAGTCAAACCTTCCATCCCTAAACTACATCCTAAACCCCAAGCAAATCATTTTTAGATTACAGAACTTTTTAATACTTGGTGTAGCTAGTAAATGGGGTCAGACACACACACACACACACACACACACACACACACACATACACACAAGCCCTTGTGCCCTTCAGAGGGTAGGAGACCAGCTCTTGTCTGCAGGGCTGTAATCATCTGGAGTGGGTTCTGTGGGACTTGAGCATCAGGACAGCAGCAAGGTCATGAAAGAGCCGCTTCAGGCCGTCCTTCCAACACAATTCTCCACAGGTGTTTGCCAGGATAGCCAGCAAGAGGCCAGCAGGCGAGTCTGTAAAATTGCTCCATCTCGAGGGGCTTCCATTTCTTAGCTTGCTCACAGTGCCTAGGGTGAGCGCTGCTGTAAGACGGGGTGGGTGCTGTGCTTGGTGATTGATGCTGGCTGTATTTCAGGAGCTGGGTATCCCCGAGCAAGGCAAATGAATGACACAGTCTGATCTCACCAGGTTCCAGCCACCCTCTCCTTGCAGAAATCAAGCTTCATTGTGATGTCTCCCAGCTGTTTGTTTGTTTGTTTGCTCCACACCACCTTATTTTTCTTCCTGACACTTGGTTTTCTTGGCATTGCCTGTTCAGGTAATGTAGCCCTCTTAGAACAGAGTCTTAGCGCGGAATGCCTGGTCTTGTCCATCAGGCATTCCTGCCTACTCCTTAGTACCTACCACACGCCATATACCTTACGCGCCCAAAGGTAGACATATAGATACTGGCTGGGTGAGTTGAGTTGTTTAAACATCTGTGGGTGACATGAAATGAGGCAGCTAGATGTACTGAAATTGGCCAGTCATTAGGCAAAAACACCCAGTTAAATACAAAGGGAAATGTTAGGCCTAAATACATTAGAGGCACAGGTAAATCCATCAGTGATCATAGATAGGACTCCGCATACATTTCTTTTGGAGAGTTTCTACTCTGCTTGCTTGATGCACTTTATGATGGTTGTGAGCTTGCAGTGACTGCTACTGATTGTCATATAGGTAAGATTCATAACTGAGAGTGGCCTCAGCAGTTAAGAGAGCATACTGCTTTTGCAGAGGACCTGAACTCAGTACTCTGCACCTACACAGGGTAGCCGGAAACCCCCTGTAACTCCAGCTCAGGGGAATCTGATGTCCTCTTCTTTCCTCTGTGGGTACCAGCACTCAAGTCTATAGCTCAGACCCCCCCACACAAATACACATGATTGGGAATATTACATCTTTTAAGAGATACGAATATTTGCTACTAGAGCAAAGGAAACGAAAACTCTATACCCACAAAGATAGAATGGATGTTCAGTTGCTTAAAATGCATTTATTTTGACATACACCATATGGTAGTCATAGGGCCCATGAATTACATTTTTCTATTTTGAGAATATTCTTTTTGTTTGTTTGTTTTTTTTCTGAGACAGGGTTTCTCTGTGTACACCTGACAGCCCTGGAACTCATTCTGTAGACTAGGTTGGCATCGAACTCAGAGATCTGCCTGCCTCTACCTCCCAAGTGCTGGGATTAAGGGACCTCCACTACCCAGTAAGAATATGCTTTCTGAAACCCCCTATGATGAGAGTTTAGTTTGAAAGTGTACAGTGATGTCCTTAGCAGTGTGACATGTACTGTGCAGTGGATACCTTATTTTTCTGAGCACTCATCTTGGGGACTGTAAATAGAGGCAAACTTCTCTGCTAAGGCTTCCCGGGGTCAGGGGTAAAGCCTGGTCAGATTGTCTTGATTTGTACAGAAAGCTCCTCGATGTAAAAAGCAATTGTGTGTTGGGGGAGGGGAGGGGACTCTGCTTTGTTGTTTGATTTTATTTTATCTTAAAAAACGTTGTTGTTGTTAACCTCTAGGTTTGAAGGCACCTGAGTTTTAATTTTAAAAGCAAAAGTAAGCACAATGTGCTGATGAGGATCTGGTCACAAGGAGGCAAGGGGGACTGGAGAGGGGTTCTAGGTTTGGGGCAAAAATGAGAAAAGTCTGAGCTGATGTTGAGTTGCATTGTAGTTTTTCAGGAGTGCTTCCCAGAGCTTCTGCACTGGCAGATGTCAAATTCAGTTGGCTAGTTGGCTGGAAGTCTGTATTCTGACTCTGGCCACAGTGAACAAGAGACTGTCTCTGGGGTAGGGTGAGAGGGGATGATGTTTCTGAGTTTCCCTAGTGCTGAGGCTGGAACTCAGGACTGTGTGAATGCCAGGCAGGCACCGAGCCACACCCCTAGTCTTGCTTTTCCATAATGCGACATTGGTAAAACCCTCAGCCATTCCCCTTTGGCATCCATCAAGCTGTCTGCACACTTCGAGTACCTTTTATTAACCCTTCGCTGCCCTCCCACGGCCATACAATACTTTAGCTTCACCTCTGAGTTCCATGGTGGCCTTGGCGGCTTCGCGGACCTACACATAGGGTCCTGCCAGCTCAAGATTCTGCGCTAGTTTTCCTAATGAGGGCATTGTTTGCTTTCTAGCCTGCCCCCCCCCCGTTTATAAAATATGCCAAGAGAACCAAACACCCCACTGTTCTTACTTTCCCAAACCAAATGTTTATGTCCTTGAATACTAAACTTGAAGAAAAAGGGTTCCTCCTCGTGGGAAAGTGACACACACAGTTCTTTCCAAGCTATGGCCGGAGGTCTGTGTTTCAGAAACTCTTGAGCTTTATCGTCAGTGACTTTGGGGTCTATTCAGACCAGCTCTGTCGTTTGTCTTGTCGTGTGTGCACATGGAAGGCAGATCCTCTGGCATCAGAAATGCCTGTCAGCACAGAGGTGGTATTCTGACCTTGGTTTGCTCCCAAACTTAGTGAACATAATTACACAGAAAGAAGATCCAGAGTGAAAGTAGTTTAAAAACACTTAACCGGACCTGCTCGCCAGCCTTCATAGCTTTAGCCAAACTTGTAGAAGAGACAGGCTAGGGCACCTCGCTGGCCTCCATAGGAGGTCCTGCATCACCTGGGAGCTTACAGACACAGGTAGCACTCCTCCAAGTGACTCAGATCCTGAGACCTGTGTTTTCTGGATGCTGACCAGGTGATCCTGATGGAGCCAGGTTCCTGGGGCTTCTTGTACCAGCCATGACTGATACATTGTTTCCCAGGCTATATCAAACAGCCATGATTGATACATTGTTTCCCCTGGCTGTGAGTTCCCCAGCCTCTCTGACTTGAATGCTGTCTTCATCTGCCCACAGGTTGTTTTGGCAACACTCACTGACCACCTCCATTGTGGCTTTTGTCTACAAAGGAGAGACTTGTCTTTGTTACCTTTCCTAGACTAGTTAGGAAAAGAGTGTACATTATAGAATTTATCATGATTATAGAATTTATCATGAAATGTGCAAAGGCATATTGTTCATACAAACAAAATAGACTAAAGGTGTTTTGGTCTGATCTGCAGGGAAAAAACCGGTGTATTGAGTTTTCCCATCTCTTTCCCCTTAGACTCATGGTGTCTAGTCAGAATGCATCTGGTAGATTTGGATATTTGGCAGGCACTGGGCTTAGAGATTATTATTTTTTATTAGGTTTATAATTCCTAAAGGCAGTTTGTCCCTTGTTCTCGAACCTGACTTTTAGGGAGAAAGACAACACAGTTTTGAGGTGAGTTCTGTTCTGACCAATACCTATCCATGTTTGTCAGTTGGTGGACGAGTGAGTCGAGAATTAAATTATACCCGGCAGAAGATAGGAGAAGAGGCTATGTTTAATCCTCAACTCATGATACAGACTCCAAAAGAAGAAGGCGCTAACGTCCTGACCACAGAGGCCCTCCTACAACACCTGGACTCAGCACTCCAGGCCAGCCGTGTGCACGTCTACATGTATAACAGGTAAGGCCAGCTGTGTCACCTGCACAGGTCAGCAGAGTTTCCATAAATAATGTTGCCTTTGGATTATTAAATTAGTTCCAACAGTTTTCCTGGTTCCTTTAGAGCCCAAGGTTTCATAGATGTCGCACAGTGCTACCATTGAACACCTCCCATCTTGATTTGTTTTTAGAGTTTGCTAGCAAAATACCACACATTGAATTTTCCTTCTCTAAAGTGCTTGGGACCCAGAAGTGTCTCTAAATTTATTTTGTAATATTTCCATGTGGGTAATAAGATTTATTGGGAGCAAGATTCAAGACTGAAGAAAGAATTGATTTGTGTTCCAATATGCCTTGTATAATATTTTAGTACTTGTTTGTGTGTGTGTGTGTGTGTGTGTGTGTGTGTGTGTGTGTGTTTGTGCATAAAATGGAGTTTCATGGTATGGAGTATTCTATTTGTGACATCATGTTGTCCTCAAGAAAAGTTTCGGGTTCTAGAGATTTTCGGATGTCAAACTTTGAGATGAGGGATGTGTTCAGCCATGTATGTGTGTATATATGTGACTGTTGGCCTGCATGTGTGTCTGTGTGTAGCACATGTGTGCAGTTTGGAACTGGAGTTAAAGTGTGTGAGCTGCCACGTGGTTATCAGGCACCAAACCCAGTTAAATTCAACAGCAACAAGTGCTCTTAACCTCTGAACCATCTCTTCTGCCCTGTAGTGTATTTCAAATAAGTATCTTGGCATGGTACACAAATGAATGCCATTCACTTGGGGGCAGGGCCTGAATGCCTGGGCTTTATCTCATTGCTTAAAATAGTTTCCCTAATTGATTATTTTGTTAACTTGGTAAATTATCTCTATTACTGACACTTTCTTTGGTGTGTGTGTGTGTATGAATATATATGACAGTCAACGTCAATCTGAAGGGCAGACAGGGAAGAAATCAGTTGTCTTACTTTGCTTGAACAGGTGATGTTAGTTACAAAGCAAGTGGAGAGGTGTGTGTGTGTTGGGCTTCCCTGGGAACTCTCTGGGATATTTGAGTGAGGTAGATTTATATACACACCTTTTAAGGGTGTTTTGGCATGAAGTTAGCGTCTTTTTCTTTCTTTCTCTTAATATGTCTATACTGTCAATCACTGCAGAATAGGAACCAGCATGGCCCATTGTTGAGCAGGGAAAAGATCAGAAGTGCGTAGGAAAAGGCTTTGGGAAGTGTGTGGACATATTTCAGCAACCTGCTATCTTTCCATCAGTAGTGAACATTGTTGAGAAAGTAACTGTCTGGTCTAGCTGGCAAAATTTGGAGTTAAAGGTCCTATGAAGAAGTGGGAATGCTCAGGGTTGTCTCGCATGCATCAGGATGTTAACACCTACTCTGAGGCACTTGTCATTCACATGCTTCTGGACAAGATTTAAAGTTCTCTGCTGTGAAGTTACATCCTTCTCAAGTAACCTGAGATGGACCCAGAGAGTTACACACAGGAACGAATCCTTGCATAGTCAATGTATGCACATTTTAGATGAAAAAAATTAAAATGAGATCAAATGGAGCATTTGTCCAAGACCCTAGGGTTGTTAAAATGACCAATCCGGGTTTCAAACCCCTCTGGATACATGCCCAATGAAAGATCAACAGTATCTTTCTCAAACAAACACAGAGAGAGAGAGAACCAGCTCATCAGATGACATTGGAAACCTGCTTATGTTGGATATTCTATGCTGGCACTATACAGGATTAATGATAGAGGGTGTGTGTGTGTGTATGTGTGTGATGCCTACATGATCATCAGGCTGATAAGTAAGTGGAGGGAAGGAGATGGGAGAGATGGGTGGATGAATGGGAGGGTAATGCCAGCCTTTACACTGGGGAAAGAAATATAGTCATCATGGGTAGGCACAGACAAAAGTGTGCACAGTACACAGGCATGAGCAGGACCCCAACCTTTCACACCCTAGGTATAGGAGTCAGGGCTCTACAGGGGGCTAATTTTCACCAGCATTAGGCAAAGAAAGCTTATTAGCGGGAAGGTAGAATTTCAAAAGGGCACCTGGTGAAAGATGGGAAAATTCTAGAGAGAAGCATAGGAAAGAGGACTTAAAGTCCAAGAAGTGCCCTTTGGGTGAACACAGGCCAGTTTATGGTGTGTGTTAATTTTTATTTTCGTCCCTTTGATTTCCCATCTCTACTCTTTCCAAACACCCATTTGTTTCTGAGTAAGGCTTATTTCCCTAAAGACATTGAAAAAAAAAGTCATGGGTTTGCAGAACACTCTCCAAAAGATAATAAAATCAAATTAATAGTATAGTCCATGTGTTTATTGTCACGTCTACTGGACTGGGAATCCAGTCTACCTGGCAGAGTTGTTTATAACATTTGTGATTAAGATCAGGAATGGCTACAAATAACATCTGCTAGTAAGAGAAGATAAATAGAAGCCAGCAACACTTTCCCACCTGAGTATACCCCAACACTCGCTACACTAACTCTGAGCTCCACTTATTTTGAATTTGTGATAGTTCCACTGGATTGCTGTAGTTGTTTAATGTATGTAGAAAAGCAGATTAATGGTGTAAACAAGATTATTGGTAGAACACTTAGGGAAACAAGACTTTTCAAGTACCTCGGTAGCGTTCATTTACATAAACACCCCACATGTTAATTACGATCCAGTGTTATCTATTCATTAAAGCAAGCTTGCCAGCTCTCTGCTTGGCAAAAGCTCTGCTGGTTTTGACAGATGCTTCAATGTGATCGAAATTACAGCCTTTTGATAAGTCCTGTTGCTCCTGTTTTTAGCTCATTTCCTTGCAGTCAGAGTGTCCTGTTCTTTTTTATTATTATTATTATTTTTCTCTGCTTTTCATCCCAATAGGCAATGGAAGTTGGAACATTTGTGCTACAAATCAGGGGAGCTTATCACAGAGACAGGTTACATGGATCAGGTACATTCTTTTTCTTGAACATTCTCAATTCTGGGAAGCACCCCGGCAGTAGTGTGTGTTAGCCTAATGCACTCCTGTTGTTTTTGCTTTGACAGATAATAGAATACCTTTACCCTTGCTTAATCATCACACCTTTGGACTGCTTCTGGGAAGGGGCGAAGTTGCAATCGGGGACAGCATACCTCCTGTAAGTGTACCCTTGGTGTCGTATTGCTGGTCTCTATGACAGTTTCCGGTGTGGCTTATCATTGTTTATTCTGTTTCAGTTTTGGACAAGAAATAAAAACATTGAAATTCCGAGCTTTTTTTTTTTTTTTTTGAATGAATGGTGGGGGAAGAGGGGATTTCAACAGAATGTTTTTTTTTTCTCTTTTCAAAAACAGTTCTGTAGGCATCATTAAATTTCATTCACTTTTACCAACCCATTTATATGCAAATAAAATGCAAATTATCCCACAGTCTGTGCAGTTTTTTTTTAAACTCTTTATAAGATGCTTGCAGTGGTGCAGAACTTTAAGAAGAGGTTTTATTACTTGGTACATGTCACAAAGAAATACTTCAAGCTAAGGTTCAAGATCTTCCTGCAAAGTAGTAATTTTAACCCTTCTCTGGATTGTGGTAATGATATTTAAGGGGGGGGGGAAATGTGCCCTCTGGGAAGGCCACGACAAGGGATGCTTCCTAGCCCAGCGGTTGGGAATTACATATACCACATGGTTTAAAGAGTGATGGTTGCTCAGTGTAGACTTTTTTTTTTTTTTTTTTTTAGCTAATTACGCAAGAGTTAGTGCTTGGGTTATTGTTTCCGTCCCGGCCAGCACGTATCTGCAAAAGCAATTTGCAGTGGCCATCCCCTGACCCTCAGTGTACAGTTTTAGATGGGAAATAAGGGGTTTTGTGTTTTCTGGTTGGGAGGGTCTGAATAATGACTTCAGCCTGGTTAAGCAGCTACAGTGCGGTTTGAACCACATAACAGGCAGCCAAAAGCCTTTCTGGTCTGTCGACAGCACAATTTCCAAAGTTGAGTGTGGGGGGAAGTGGCTGTGATGGTGGTGATGGCAGAGCCCATGGGGGGGCTTACCCACCCCGCTGCCAGCCTGTCAGAGAGGGCACGAAAGAAAGAATCGCTGAAGGCTACAGGTCAGAAATTCTGATTGGTGATGTTTAGAAAGCATTTTTTTTTTTTTTTTGAGCTAGAAGTTACTACTGTGATACTGTAATTCCCTTTTTTTGGTGTTTTGGAAGTTTGGATCACGGTGTTCCCCAGCCTCCACCCTCTATTGGCTTTTTTATTTTTAAAGACTATTAAATACAATATTAGGTGATTAAAAGTCTCTTGGTGTCTCTGTGTTAATTTGCAAGCTGTCCTGTCTGTCCTCTTTAGTCATGAACTCTTCTCCTGACTGGCTTGTAAATGGCTTTACTGGGGAGGGACACTGTGTTTTCCCTCTGTACCCACGTCCCAGGATGTTGCGTTGGACAGCCTGTTTCTACACAGATGTAGCCTCAGTGCCTCGTCCCCAAGTCCCCGCATATCCCCCCCCCCTCCCCGCCTGTCTGGAGCTGTTCTTTCGTGGCCTCACCTCTTAATTTCTTTCGCAGAGGTAAGCCTCCTTTGCGGTGGACAAACTTTGACCCCTTGGAATTCCTAGAAGAATTAAAGAAAATAAACTACCAAGTGGACAGCTGGGAAGAGATGCTACATAAAGCTGAAGTCGGCCACGGGTACATGGACCGTCCCTGCCTCAACCCAGCCGACCCAGATTGCCCCGCCACAGCCCCCAACAAAAATTCAACCAAAGTGAGTTTCCAGAGAGTGCGGGGGGGGGATAAAAAAGCCCTGTCTGTTTCATTTACAGCTTCCTCTTATTATTTTCATCTTAAAGATTTCTTCGGCCATGAGTTTTGTTTCTTTTTTTAATTTGGTGTATGGAACTAAAGTTGTTTACAGAGCTAAGTTTTGCTGTAAGATTTAGCATAACCCTCATTAGCCTTGTTATTAATGTTTTCTCTGAAACAAACAAGCCCTTAACGCGCTGGATTTTAACGAGGCATGTGACCTGCCTACTAATTCCCCGTAATTATGTGGCTGTCTTTTCATTGCAGCCTCTTGATGTGGCCCTTGTTTTGAATGGTGGATGTCAAGGTTTATCCAGGAAGTATATGCATTGGCAGGAGGAGTTGATTGTGGGTGGCACAGTCAAGAATGCCTCTGGAAAACTGGTCAGGTAATCCAACACAGTACCACACACCACCACCGTGTGCCTCTTCTTGTGCACAGACATTTGGACTCAACGTTAATAATCCGCAGCAGGCTGTCCAGTGTCGTTGAATCTTGGGGAGCGTTAGCACTTCAGACCAGCCTGCAAAGTAGTCTCGTGGGGGAAGTTTCCTTTGTAATCTTCATCAGAACTGTAGTTGTTGATTTCGGGGTTATGAAAGGTCTGCCCTTTATGTAGACTAATGGAGCAAGAAAATCCAGTTATAGTGTGGGGTTGAGTCGTGGGAGCTGATCAGTACCATGCACTCATAAGAGAGTCAAAGACCAGGAACTACAGGCGATGCAAGAGTTGGCCTTTGTGCAGTCAGGGACTCCAGTCAGTCAAGTGTCAGGTGTTTTGTCTGAGGTTTCTCCCTTGGGACACTGTCTCTGGGATTTCTGCAGAGAGAGTGCGTGGCTGAGCACTCTGTGTATCTGGTCAAGCTATCTACTCCCCTCTCCTTCCTGTCTCATGGAATAGGAACTGAGAAAGGAAATTGCCTATTAATTTAATTTTGGGGTCTATCTGTAAAAGGTTTGTAAGGTTACACCTTTAATATGGTACATCAATCTATTAAATACAATAACCATCCTGGTCTTGTTTGAATGGAAACATGTGCGCGCAGAGGAGGAGAGAAGTCGGAGAGATGGGGGGTGCTCACTGGCGGCGCTGACCTGCCTTCTGTCTGTTTACCCTGACACAGTGCTCACGCCCTGCAGACCATGTTCCAGTTAATGACTCCCAAGCAAATGTATGAGCACTTCAGAGGCTACGAGTACGTCTCTCATATCAACTGGAATGAGGATAGGGCAGCCGCCATCCTGGAGGCTTGGCAGAGGACGTATGTGGAGGTGAGCCCCTGCCTTGACATCCGGGTCGATTTGTAACTTAGTCCAGTCTTTCCTTTCCTCATTAGAAACTTTGTTTCTCCCGTTAGGTTTTCTTTGTTGTTGAGTCTCACTGTGCAGACCAGATAGTCTCAAACCTGCTGTCCTCCTGCCTCAGTCTCCCAATTGTTGGCATTATACCACTGCACCCAGCCTCCCTTGGATTAATTTTCAATACAGATTTGAATTCTGAACAGTGCATGAGATGCAAGCTTGGGTTTTTCTTGATTCAACCATCGTAGGACTTGGGAGTGGTGTCTGAAGAGGCACTCCTTAGTGGGGATGCCTTGAAGCATGCCTAGTAACTATTGTAGACTATTGCCGTGTAAAAAGGAAAACACAAAACCAAACACAAACACACACACACACACACACACACACACAACCACTGGGTGAGCAAGAAAATGTCTGGAAAACATTAGGAGGACAGAATCTATTCACACCTGCAGACCCCTTTGGTCAGGTCATGTGACAGGAGGCTGGCCTTGTGTTTCCCAAGCAGTGACCTCTGTGGAGCTGCCCGTGACCTTTTGAAAATGGCCAGCAAATGAAGTTGGGGGGGAGGTGGAATTTATAAGAATGAGTTGTTTTGGATTAAGAGGGAACCGTCTGGCTGTGCAGGGGAGAGTGAGTACCTTAGAGTTACAAAGTAGTAACAATGCTGACCCTTTGTTCTCCTTAGATCACTGTTAGGAGGCAACTCTTCCCCGACCACTTGAGTCACGTGGGACCTTGTGGGGTGCATGGTGGTGCTCCCCCAGGTTTAAGCTGATGAGGCATTTTGGTGGCTGTAGTTCCCTTTTGGGAATTTAGTCTTGTCTCTTGACCGCAGGTAGTTCATCAAAGCGTTGCCCCAAACTCCACTCAGAAGGTGCTTTCCTTCACCACCACAACCCTGGACGACATCCTAAAATCCTTCTCCGATGTCAGTGTCATCCGAGTGGCCAGCGGCTACCTACTGATGGTAATTCTGGGCTCCCACAGGTTGGGGGTGGTCAGCTTGGTTTGGGTTTGTTTCATAACGTTAAGACATTTTTTTCCCTCCTTCTGTGACGGCACCCGCCTTTTTTAACTGCCCCTAACATATGAGTACAACCAAGACAGGGACAGCTCAGCCTTGTAAGGGTTTCAGAAATGGTTCCCCTCCCCTGTTTGTGTGATGTTTGCTGGAAGTGTAAAATTTTGTTGTTTTGGAGCTAATAGGCTCTTAATCTTTGGATGTGGGGCAATGGGTGGGTGGGTAGGGGTGGGGGAAACATTAGAATCACCACACATTCTAATGTTTGGCTCTTGTTTTGTGTCCTTCCCCCCCTTCTCTCTCTGATTCCCCTTTGTCCCCTTCCCCCCCATCCTCACCCACCCCCTCCCCGTTGTTCTGCTTGCAGCTTGCCTATGCCTGTTTAACCATGCTGCGCTGGGACTGCTCCAAGTCCCAGGGTGCCGTGGGGCTGGCTGGCGTCCTGTTGGTTGCACTGTCAGTGGCTGCAGGATTGGGCCTCTGCTCCTTGATCGGAATTTCCTTTAATGCTGCAACAACTCAGGTACTGCAGGGGGCCCTTCGTTGCTGCCCTCTGGCCAATACTTTCCCCGCCCCCCCTGTGTGTCTGTCTCACCTGAAGAGTCTTGACAACCTTTTCTGTGAGGGGTGCCCTTTCTCTTGGGGGAGGTCCGTCCGGCTCTCAGTGGGTCAGCCTGGTCTCTGGGTGAGAAGCCTAGAGAGCTGCCGGAATGGCCGCAAACCTGGCCATCTGAGTTCAGTCCGTAGAGCCCACGTGAAAGGTGGAAAGAGAGAACAGGCTACAAAATTGCCCTCTGACCTGCACACATACAGAAGGCTGTGGGCACACATGTCTACACACACTTCATGTGCATACATACACAAACACACATTAATAACCTTGGGTGTTTTTTTTTCGGGGGGGGGGGGCGGGGGTTCCCAGAGATGCTCTTGGTAGCTGGAGACATTCGCTTAGAATAATTTATGTCATTTACTGGTTCCCAAGCTCCACTAGGCATTAGAGCCTCACTAAGAGGACAAAGATGGCTGGACCCAGTCTTCCTGGAGGCACCATCTTTACATTTCCAGCGTTTCTCACTGATACTGGTATAGGGATCTCTGGGAACTATTAGCTTTAGATGTAGCTGGCTTTTTCACTTTTAGTTCTAAAATAAGTTCTCGTTGCGTGGATCTCAGAGGCTTGCGAGAACATCTCCTGAGTTACAACAGAAAGATTTTGGAACTATTGGACGGATAAATACATACATTGTACCCAGAGCTGGCATAAGCTCCCCTCTGGCACCTGTGGGGCACTGGTAACAGTGTTTCCCTGTGAGGTTTTACCTGCCTAATGCTGCGGTTGCCTGTGTTTGCTGTAGGTTTTGCCATTTCTTGCTCTTGGTGTTGGCGTGGATGACGTCTTCCTCCTGGCACATGCATTCAGTGAGACAGGACAAAACAAAAGGATTCCGTTTGAGGTAACAGAAGGAGAAGAGAAGGGAGTGTTGGGGGCACTCGAAGCCCACTGTCTTCGTTAGTCCCCCTCCCCGTAGTTTTTTCCACCACCTGGTCAATCTCAAGTCAAATGACACATCACTGTGAGCCGTGCCGAGAGCCCCGTTTGGGGTGCCCGTGGAAATGTGGGCGTCTTAGCACCGTTCCTCCTGCTCCCATGCCGTTCCCTTCCCCAAAGTCCGAGTTTGCCTCTGTGGTTTCTTTGCCTATGGGTTGGCGTTTTTCAGTCGCCATTATCTTTGTTCGGCTTTGTGGTCCGGTCTGGGTGACGGTAACCACGAGGAACACAAAAAAGGTGACCATGAATCCTGGTACTGGGGTGAAGTTGGTTGAGGCCTTTCCTCGTTCCTTAGACACAGTACAGCCCGTACTAGAAACTGCCATAGCATACTTTCAAGGGGTGGCCAGTGTAGGCCGAGGTCCTCAGCACTGTGATTGGTCTTCCTCAGGACAGGACCGGGGAGTGCCTGAAGCGCACAGGAGCTAGCGTGGCCCTCACCTCCATCAGCAACGTCACTGCCTTCTTCATGGCCGCACTGATCCCCATCCCCGCACTTCGAGCATTCTCCCTCCAGGTGAGTTTACCGTGGGGCAGGTCCCCGTGGTGTGGCTCTTCAGCTCCTCCTCTCTGCTTTACTTTAATCCAGCGCTCATTTTACATGTCAAGTGCACGCCGCCAGCAGCGTTTGGGTCTCAGTGCTGTTGGTAGGGTGCTTCTGAGCATGAGCTGGCGGCACTCCTTCCAGAACAGGCGCCAGGGCTCTTTGCTCCCTTAGACCTTGTTCTCCAAGAGCTGTCCGCTTGTGGAATTGAACTGCTGTGTAGCTTAGGTCAGCGGGCCCAGGGATGTGCCTCCTTGGCTGGGCTCCTATTTTTTCAAGACTACTTCCCTTCCCTGAACAGCCCCCCTCCCCCTACCTCAAGGCCGTAGGAGATTGTACTGGTTTGCCCAGATAGGGTGTCGAAACCCTGGGGCAGGCAGTGACTGTCACACTGTATGAAGGTGTGTTGGCCACGTGGCTATATCCTGCAAGGGGCGTCTCTCGGGGTGTCCTTGTATCCTGCTGCCTTTTCCTTTGTTGGCCTCTGCATTCTCATGGTCCCTCGCTCCCCTTCTTAGGCTGCTTAAGCAAGCTTAGAGTGCATGCCCCTCACTGTGTGCAAAGGCTGTGTTGCTGGCCTCAAGAGCCTTGACAGCTCCCTCCCAGACAGGTCTCCTCACACCCAGGCTATCAATTCCCAGGTGTGAGTGGAGCCGCTGTGGGCCATACTTAGTAGTCATAGCTGTTCATAAAGTAGTCGTAGTCGTTCATAGGAAGCCTGAAACCCTCAGAGCTGCAGGCTTTCGGGCGGACACCTCATGACATGGCGGAAGTCTTTGAAAGCCTCAGCTGAAGGGGGAGCCTATGTCTGTCTCTTTCTTAGAGTAGGATGTACAACTCACAGGGTGGCCAGTGGCCCGAAGGAAGCCACTTGGATGCATTTGTGTGAAACTGTTGATAGGTTTGTCTTCCTTCATGCTCTCCACTCATCAACAGGTGCTAAAAAATGTGACCAGGAAGAGAACGGGACTACACATTTGTCACCCGAGTAGAAACAGTCCCCTAGGTGTGAGAGCTTCATCTCCCTACCCATAGAGGCCCTACTGTGGGTGAGGAGAGTCCTTCGGTGCCTGAGGTGGAAGGCCTCCTTAACAGTGAGAGATCTGAGACTGAGAAGAGCCTCTCTCTCCTCGGTCAGTCACAAGCACCAACCCCCCGGGGGGAAAAACAACCAAACAAACCAGAAAGAGGCTTGTTGTTACAAACATCTATAGAAATGGTGTCTGAATGAAGTCAAGGCTGAAACAGAGACACAAAAAAATGAAGATAACCGAGGGCTTGTAATAGGAAAGATAAGGGGAAAGAGATGGCCGTGGCCTTGATGGTGGCCGACGAAAGTTTCAGGAAGCCGTTTGCACGGGCATGCATCCGTTACTCGCGCTTCTTGGGTCTGCTCTTGCTTCTCGTGTGCAGCGAACACTGGAACGGAGATGACTCTGGAGTCTTTTGATAAGGGGACCTCTGTTCATGCTCCCTTCCACTGCCTGTCCCCTTGCTGGGCACTCCCTGCTCAACTCTGTGTCAGCTCGCTCGCCCGCCCGCCTGCCTGCCGCTCGCTCACTGGCTCCTTTCCTTTCCCTCACTCTCTGCTCTCCTCTCCTCTCAGTACTGGTGGTTCATCAAGGCAAACTCTCCTCCCTTAATGACACCCCACGGTGTGGGCTCTCCCCGAGGATAGAAAAGCCTTTTAGAAAAATCCAGTGCGCTAAGTTCTCCCAAGGTAAGCAAGTACCTTACAGGGACAAAATGAGTACTTTGCGTTTCTTTGTGTGTCTGTCAACTGTAGCCACCAACGGTATCCGGAGAGGTTCTGTGCCGTAATAAACCAGTGTGACGTTTGATTTTTTTTTCCTTGTGAAACTTAGATGATTTTTTCCCTTCCTTCCTTCCTTCCTTCCTTCCTTCCTTCCTTCCTTCCTTCCTTCCTTCCTTTCTTTACCCCCTGACTAAATAGCAACGTTCCTTCTCTCAAAGAAATAGACTGTCTCCTGATCAACCTTCACTGTGGTGTCTGTTCCTCAGTGAAAATCCCCAGACCAAGACCCTTACTCAATCTAATGATAAAGGTTTGCTTTAAATGTTTATTATTTTGTCGACACCCCCTCGTGTCTGTGTGTTTGTGTGTGTGTGTGTGTGTGAGAGAGAGAGAGAGAGAGAGAGAGAGAGAGAGAGAGAGAGAGAGAGAGAATGAATGTGTCTTCACATATACATGTATAGATGCCAGAGCATCTTCCTCCTACACTGTCTGACTCGAGAGAGAGTCTCTCAAACCCAAAGCTTATCAGCCGTCTGGGCTGGATAGCCAGTAAGCTCTACCCCAGTTCTGGGATGACAGGTAGCAAAAGCAGTATTCAGCTTTTTATGTGGATACTGGGAATTGGTTGTGTGACAAGACTTTCCTTGGGGAGTTGCAGCACACACATGTACTCACCACTTAGGGAAACCTATGACAGACCAAAGTACTTTCAGAAACAGAAATGACTCAAAGACAACTGGATCACCAAAGCCCACCTCAGCATGGGTGACAGACAGACAGACAGACAGACAGCTCACAAAGCTAGGAACCTGGCATTCACTGCACAGCCTGCAGCTCAACAAGTTGCAGGGTGTCCTTTCCAAGTGACTCCTGGTCTAAAAAACCTCAGCGTCTTCCAGACAGCTGGTTTGGTGTCTTGAGTCTTCTTTGAGTTTGGCTCTTGATTACTCTGGTAGGGAGGGGTCTAGTGAATCTAATCAGTTTCAGGGACTTCCTGGAGCTCTTTTGAATTGTTTACATTCCAGTTTCAAGAGCTTCCCACAGGATAGAATGTATCTCAGTGCCGGAGGAAACTGTTACCCAACAGAGTTTGAAATCAGGTCCTCAGGTTTTCAGAGGGACTACTCTTAACTATCCCCCACGCCCACCCCCACCTTTCCTTTGTAACAGTGGGATTCGAACTCAGGACCCCATAAAGAAGTAGTCTACCACTAAAGCATCCCCACCACCCTCCCCATGACAGTAAAAGGTCATGTGGGGGTGTGGGTGGGGGTGGTTACTCTAAGCAGAGTAACTAGATGCAATTCACAGTCAAGATCACTCACATCAGATTCTCTGACTTAGAACTGCTTTCTGTTGTTTGAAGTTTTTCCATCTTACTTTGCAGAGGGCCACTCTGCCTTGAGAAATCCTTGCTAGTCACTTTTAAGGTTTTGATACCCGTGTGTGTGGGGGTGTCAGCGTTCATTTTCATTGCAGGAAATGGTTCCCCCTAAATACGTGTAACACGTCATCAAAAAAGAGGTTAGGGGGGCCCTTGCTGTGGGCTCTCATCCTTCTGCTTCCATCTGAGTGAGCAAAGACAGCTGCCCATCAGACTTTTTTTTTTTTTGATGCTTGTTGCCGTGGCAACACCTGCTGTCTGTGTGCTTGTGGGGTTTAAAGTGGCTCAGGGTCTCTGCCCTCACTCACCCTTGAGAGATGCCTAGGGCTTATCTCTGCATCCCTCTCCTGAGCTGTAAACATGACTGGAATTTAAAAGGCTGATAGGATTCAGTCCCAGCATGACTGATTTCAAAGAAAACCTCCTCAGAGTCTTATTCTTCCCAGCATTCCCTGCATCTAATTGGTCAGCAGTCCGAACCTAGCATGAGTATGCCGTTTCAGGAAGTCACCATCCCCAGCAAGAGCATCCAAACTGGTTAGGATGAAGACTTTGCATCAGACCTCCATTTGAATCTGATTGGCGGGGAAGCCTCGGGGTTTGTAGGTCATCTGTCTTGCCTGAGACCAACTGTCCGCATCCTGATTACTGTGGAAATGCAGTGGGTGCATACTGTGTCCATCCGTCCGTCCGTGTGTCGTGTGTTCCCCCCCCAGTCGCCTGTCTCAGAACTTGAGTAGCTTGGGTCAGGGTTGCCTCTCTTGTCCTGTATTTGCCAGCCCAAGCATCTGTTCCTCCTGGACCCTATTTTCATCTTCTAAATCTTTCCCAGGAACCCTTCCTGGAGGAGCCGCTCTGTCCACCCGCCCCCTGAGCTGCCGGGGAACCTGCTTTTTGCAGTAGAACCCCTCAGCCTTGGGTGTGATTTATTTGTAGCTCCACGGGCAAGTCTTGTCTTAGCCGTCTTTGCTTCTCCAGCGCCCGGCACTAGACTTTTGGGGGGGGCGTTACCTCCTAGAGAGTGTGTCCAGTCACGGCTGGCCGTCACAGGGAACTTGCCACACGTATGGGCTGCTCCATAAGCCAGCCTCCAGAGTCCTGCATGTGTGTGCATTTGAGCTGTAGCTGTTCTGTTGGAATGGATGAGGCCCTTTAAAAAAAACCAACTCAGGAAAGAATTGGCGTGGCGTGGAAGACTTGGCTATTTTATGGCTTTGTAGGGCATAACAGGGGACTTTTTATTGAAGGGCATCTCTTCCAGTTTGCTATTTCACCTGGAGCATAAACCTACACTCCCTTCAAAAAGCCCTTTGTGAAGTGTCTCTTGGTTTTTAATTCTTGGTACCAGCAATAGCCAGCCCCCCACACACACACACAAACATACACATCAATCTCACTATTTTGAGAAGGTCACAGAAACTGTCCTTTGAAAGCTCTACTAGGAGGTTTTACTTTTTAAGCAAATTTCTGATTATTTCTTGGCTATTTAGCACTCCCCTTCCATTTTTCTATCCTGCTTCTTGTCCACTTCTCAGTACAGGACTGCCCTTAGATGTCCTGTCGGCTTTGCTTAATAACAGCCCAATTTTGCAATTTTTACTAGGTCAGCAGGAGATTTGCCTGAGTGCTGCAGAACCTAACCCTGTGTTTATTCTAGGTTATAGAGTGGCTTTTTGAATCCATACTTATTTATTCTACAGACTATAATCACACACAGGAATTTCTTTCTGCTTAACTCTCCTTGACCCTGGCTGTTACTCACTAGCACACCCCACAAGCTGCTCCTGAGGCTGTTTTGGAAATGTGCCTACTAAAAACCTCAGGGGACATGTGTGAAATTTTATTTCATGTTTTAAAGGTGACACGTTGATAGACTTGATCTACTTTATATACAGGTTATTAATCAGGGTTGTGGGAACTCTTGGAAACGTCCTGGAAGGGAGAGAAAAAAAATGTTTCTTTTTGTTTTGAAGTGAAAATATCTCAGGTCTTTTCTTTGCCTGGCTTTGTAGGTGTAATCTGGTTAGGGTTAGTGAGAAAGCAGTGGTTCCACTCCAACCTGTGTAACTTAAGGGGAGGGAGTTTCTTCCGTTCCAGTTGCACACAGCCTCTTAATGGTGGGGTGTGAAGATGGAGACCCTCTGCTGTCTGCTAGCTCTGCTTCTCTTGGAAGCAGTGGGTTGTTTGTTGAGAGAGAGTGCTGTCCAAAATATCTTTGCATGGGGTGCTGCTCTACCAGAGGACCCAGGTTCTCATCCCAGCACCCACATACCAGCTCACAACTGTTTGTAACTGTGGTCCCAGGGGGATCTGACGCCCCCTCTGGCCTCTGAGGGTACTGCATGCACACGGTGCACATACTTTCAGGCAAACACACACATATAACATCAAAATTTTAAAAAACTAACAAACAAACTTTGCTAATGAAGCAGCATGCTAACTAGGAGGGGGTGTTGATCACTTCAATTGTTCTTCTGATCCCAGGCTGCTGTGGTAGTGGTGTTCAATTTCGCTATGGTGCTGCTCATTTTTCCTGCGATTCTCAGTATGGACTTATATAGACGAGAAGACAGAAGATTGGATATTTTCTGCTGTTTCACAAGGTACATTTTCAGGGCCCTGGGGCCTTTATTGGGCATATGGAACGACTGTTTAGAGAGCCCTTCCAGTCTGTGGGCTTCTTCTGAAGGGAATGTAGCTCACAGGGCTTGGGTTGGAGTGATGGGGGCAGGGAAGGGTATTAGGCACTTGTGAGCTCCCACACTTCCCTCTCCCCCAACTGAATATGGCCGGAAACTGGTCTCTCTCTCTCTCTCTCTCTCTCTCTCTCTCTCTCTCTCTCTCTCTCTCTCTCTCTCTCTCTCTCTCTCTCTCTCTCTTTTTCCTATCGTGAACTGTGTTTGTTCAGGACTGTTTGGTAACTTTTTGGAGCAGAGGAATGCTGAAAACCACCCGTTTAGAAACACAGCATGGTGGATTTTGTTTTTAGGTTTTTTTTTTTTTTTTTTTTTTTTTAGTTCTTTGGAGTTGTGCTTTTAAGGGGTTTATCATCAGTCCAAGATCAGCTGCGCCTTCGATTTAGACTTGATCATGCCTGTGTCCCGAGCAGTCAGGTGTCAGGTGCATAGAAACAGTCCGCTTTCTCTCCTAAGCCAGCGACGTCAGTGTTTGGCCTCAGTCCTCAGTAGAAAGGAAGGCCCGCTCTCTCTCTCCATCGTGGCCACACACTACAATGTCTTTCTCTCTTGTCTTTCAGCCCCTGCGTCAGCAGGGTGATTCAGGTTGAACCACAGGCCTACACGGAGCCCCACAGTAACACCCGTTACAGCCCCCCAACCCCCTACAGCAGCCATAGCTTCGCGCATGAAACACACATCACCATGCAGTCCACCGTTCAGCTCCGCACGGAGTACGACCCCCATACCCATGTGTACTACACCACCGCCGAGCCACGATCCGAGATCTCTGTACAGCCCGTCACCGTCGCCCAGGACACCCTCAGCTGTCAGAGCCCCGAGAGCACCAGCTCCACTAGGGATCTGCTTTCCCAGTTCTCAGACTCCAGCCTTCACTGCCTCGAGCCCCCCTGCACCAAGTGGACACTCTCTTCGTTTGCAGAGAAGCACTATGCTCCCTTCCTCTTGAAACCCAAAGCCAAGGTAACCTTCTACCATGTGTGGCTTCCTGCCTCAAAAAAAAAATATGTGAACCGTTGTCACCTTTGGGATCCCTCATCATGGGCACGTGCACTTCAGGACAGGCCCACCAGAGTCAGACTGCAAATCTCAAGGCCACTAAAATGAGTCTCTCCTACACAGGGAGGCTCTGTGTAAATGGGGCCTCACGTTATTCATTTTTGTTTTCCGTGGGATTACTTAAAAGGGCGATTTAGTGTGGTTTATGGTTTTTTTCCCCCCCTCTGGGAACCTGACCCCTGACTTGCCATGCTAAGTCAGGGCTGTAGATGCAAAGAGAAATAAAGGAAGCAGTTGGTGTTGGTTCTGGAGGAATCAGGGCTGTTCCTTCTCTCTGTTGCAGGTTGTAGTAATCCTCCTCTTCCTGGGCTTGCTGGGGGTCAGCCTTTACGGGACCACACGAGTGAGAGACGGGCTGGACCTCACGGACATCGTCCCTCGGGAGACCAGGGAATACGATTTCATTGCTGCACAGTTCAAATACTTTTCCTTCTACAACATGTACATAGTCACCCAGAAAGCAGACTACCCAAATATCCAGCACCTACTTTATGACCTCCATAAGAGTTTCAGCAATGTGAAGTATGTCATGCTGGAAGAGAACAAGCAGCTTCCCCAAATGTGGCTGCACTACTTCAGAGACTGGCTCCAAGGTAGGGCTTTGCGGCAGGCTGTTGTCCTCTGACTTGTCACCCTCCAGTCTCACCCACGGCGATTCCTCCTGCCCACTGTGTGAAAGTGTTCCATCGTAACGGAACAGCTTAACTTGTGTGTGTGTGTGTGTGTGTGTGTGTGTGTGTGTGTGTGTGTGTTGCCTGCATGTCTGTTCACTATGTGTGTGTCTGGTCCCTGAGGTCAGAAGAGGGTATTAGAGACCTCAGAACTGGAGTTGTGGGTGCTGGGAACCAAACCCAGGTCCCCTGCCAGAGCAACAAGTGCTCTTAACTGCTGGGCGCCTCTGCAGCCTGATTTATAGAAAGCCTTTTTTTCTGTGACTGTCTCAAAACTTGCAACTGTATGAGCAGGAGTCTTCTGTTAACGCATTTGTGAGCGCGCACTAGGGGAAAGTGTTAGAAAGTTGGGAGTCTGGAGGCTTTTATTTGGTCTCTTCCTTTCGGACGGTGGCTAGTTTGGCCACCAAGTGAAACTGGAGTATTTGGTGGGATTTCTGAGTTGTCTACTAAATTACAGTCTACTGTAAACAGCAGATTTGGGGTCAGCCATTGAGTATTTTGAACGTCTTTTAGATTCTTTATTCATGCACTTTGGATTCATCGCAAATTTGAGCAGAAGGGGTAGGAGAGCTTGCTCACTCTTACCCAGGCCTTCCCCGTGTGTCAACATCTGACACTAAAGTGGTGTGTGTGTGTTTCACTCTTCACATTGACCTTTGACACCGTTGTCTTGCAAGAGCTTCGTACCAGCCGTCCTTCCATTTGGTGATGATCTTGGAAATGCTTACCCCATATCCTGCTGTCTCATGAAGGGGCAAACCCTGCCCCCACCTCCCCCCTTCCACTTTTACCTATTGATTTGTGTGTGAGGGTGTCCATGTGCACACCATGGTCTGTATATTGAGGCCAGAAGATAGCTTTCCTCTTTCCACCATGTGGGCCCTGGGCATGGAACTCAGATAGATCCTCAGGTTTAGTACAAGTGCCTTTTACCCTTAGACCCATCTCTAGGAAGTATTATTAGTCAGCGGGAGAAGAAAAATGTAAGATGATGGACCAAATGTGCTTGTAACTGGTGACTGACTGAATATGAATGCGTTCAGTGGTTCCCAGAACATCTGTTAATGTTGACACATGCAGAGTACAGTAGACAATTAAGACCATTACCCACACAATTCAAGCAAAATTGCTTTTATTGGAGCACCCAAATAATTACAGCATCAGCATTTGTTGGCTTAGATTATCCCAGTGGCTGTCTTAATTCCCCACTTAATTAGGCTTACTTAAACACATATTTAAGTGCCCTTTTTTGTCTTAAGTCAGTACTCTTGCATGTCAAGATCAGGCATCCAGTTTCCCTGTGAGTCTGCATTAGGTGACAAGCAACTTGATTTGGTGGGAATTGGTGTTGAGCAGTGATTGGAATTTGCTCATACATGTGTGCCAGGTCCAGCTTTGTTTTGGGGGAGTGGGAGAAAGTATCATTTTATTGTTACAGCCCAGGAGATCAACCTTGAATTCACCCCAAGTTTTACTTTCTTACACTTGGCTCTCAATGCATTATTTTTTTTAAGTAGTGAATTAACAAAGACCCAAAGTTGCCAGTCTCTGTCTTTCATCCCCACTCCTGCCCAATACATACACATATTGACCAAAGACATGCAAATAACTTGCCACAAATGACAAAGAGGTCTGCTGTGCCTGAGTGAAGGAGGGTGTTGTAAGCAGGAGCTCTCCCATGTCTTCAGTCAAGTGTCTTCCCTTTGGTTTGGTAGGCTGGCATTCCGAAGGGTGGAACAGACTCTGTCTCTAGGCAGTTTGAAGGTTGGTCTTCTTCAGACAGTGTTAGAATCTAGGTAAGACCCAAAACTTTCAGATGTATAGATATATATTTGTATATCTGGACTATTATTTGGTTGCTGAGCAAGCAGTACCCAGCCAAAGTGTTACATCAGTGCATGCTAAGATGTCATAATCCCAGGCAGCCGGGATGATGCGTGGGATGGGCTCTCAGAGCACTGCTCACAGACACCAGTGCTCTTGGCTCCCGAGGCGTTTTTCAGGCCGAGTGGTTTGCTCAGGTCCCTGAACATTTCTTTGGAAGAAGCAGTTCTTCTCGCGGCAACATTCCTTCCAAATACTTGCATGTAGTGTCGAAGTCCACTCTGCTATTCCCTCTCACCGGTCTTTGTCAACACTCCAGTAGTTAGTCTTCTTGTTTGTTTGTTTTTTTTTTCATTCCTAAGAAACATGTAACGGTGAACACAGGGATTATCTCATGCCATTTTGAAAAAGTCAGTCCTGAGGTAGAAGCCAGGGCAGCACTCTTACCTTTGGGAGATATCCCCAGCTCTCATAGGACATCTGTGAACATGCACAGAAAGGAGGTGAAGTTAGAGGGGACATGTTAACTGTGCATCATGTGCTGTAAATGGAGTCTAGATAATAAAAGGCAAGTCAGATATAGAGGGAAGTGCTGAGAGATCAGAGAGGAGGAGCAAGCCACAGCACACCTTACCTCCTAAGCATCTCCACAGAAGAGAGGAGGGGAGGGGAGGAGAGGGAAGTGAGGAAGAGGAAGAGGAAAAGGAGAGAGCAATTTGCTACTTGTCCCTGCTTATATATTGATTCTACCCTGTTACATCACATCCTGTCTGGAACACATGGCGACTTCCGTTTACTACATTTCCCAGAATCCTCCTCATCTCCTAGTCCCACCTATCTTGCTTCCCTATTGGCCAACAGTGCATTATTCATCAACCAATAAGACATACATATACAGAGAAGACCATTCCCCATCATCTCCTCTTTTCTGTCTAAATAAAAAGAAATGTTTTAACTTTACCGTAGTAAAATACGTAACAAAACAGTTAATCAAATAAGAGCTATAGTTACAATATTTAGTCCATTATCGTTTGGCAAAATATGTAGAATATATTCTATCATCTATCCTATCTTTGTTGAGTCTAAAGTCTTATATGTAACTTATCTTTAACTAAGGAAAACTATAACCATAACTATCTGTCTTCAACTCCATCAAAAACCACAGAAGGATAATATATGAACTCCAGAATTGACAGAGACAACTCACTGCCTGGTCAGTCACCCAAAGTTCTGTAATGTTGCATCTTTGACCCATAGGTCATGGTGTGTCTGGCAGTCTCCTCAGCAAAGTAGGAAACTTTAAACTGTCCGCCTGTATTGGCAGTTTACCAGTCACTTTTCTCTGTGTCCTGTAGGATGTCTGGTAGACTCTTTCATGAAGCAGGTACCTTGTAGCAATTGTCCATCTTGTTTCAGCGGTCACTTTCCTGTGGGTCCTGCATGTTCATTTTAAATAGCATGAAGTCAAATAGTCCAGACAAGAGCAGCTTCTTGCCCAAATGGCTACTCCTGTCACATTGGAGACAAACTTCATAACAAGTTTCTTCGATGTCCATGTTTCCTTGTCTGGAGAATTTTAAATGCCTTTGAAAGGTTTGAAGAATGCCTATCCAGTTGAAGTTTATCTCTATATATCTAGAAAGCCTAAGTAATCTATGTTTTGACTATCTATAATCTGTATTTAATTATACATTACATTTTTAAATGAGTTATACAAACACAATACATAAACAAGAGGAGAAATATATATAATCACAAAATTGATCTTAAATTTGTATCAATAAATGAAAATTCATTCCAATACAAAGTATTCATTTCTATACCATAATTTCCCTTTTACCCTTAAAAAGAGATTGACTGTGATCCTTAGCCATCTAACCAACCCCATTTAAGTAAAAACAAAATTTATAAACAGTATTTGGGAATTTGGGTGTCGCTTATTCCAAACTGCTTCCATAGGGATTATGACGAAACACAGAAATCTGGCCAGGTCCTTGTTTTTGTAGTCTGCAAGGCTGCATCATCTCAGCTGTTCTAGATGTTGGATCACCTGGGATACTGTTTCAGGGGGGTCTTTTCTTTTTTCTTTTTTCTCTTTTTTTTTTTTTTTTTGAGACAGGATTTCTCTGGAAATCCTCCTGCCTCTGCCTCTTGAGTGCTGGGATTAAAGGCGTGTGTCAGTATACCCAACTATTCACTATTTTTTTCTTTTTCTCCCCCAAACCTATGTATATTTTTTCTTACTGTAAATCTGTATCTTTTTCTAATCACATGAGTCTTAATGTGCTCGATCACAACCACGGTTTTGGCCGCTTATATGTAAATCAGGAAGCTGGTCTTAAAAGGAGTTGTGTCGCGTCTTTCAACGCCTGGGAAACTGAGCTCACCCAAGAAAATGCTGCTACCAGGAAGCTGCTCTTTTTGTTTTTAAAATACCTTTTAAGTTTATGTGAAGTTTTTAATGTGGAAGTTCTTAGTACCCACGTTGCTGGTGCCATAATGTTTTGGGATTCCGGCCTGGGATCCGTCGCTGCTTCAGAGCTCCCAAATCACACACAGAGACTTCTATTTAGTTACAGTGCTGTCTTGCTTCCCCATTGGCCAACAGTGCTTTTATTCATCAACCAGTAAGACAAACATACACGCAGAAGAACATTACCCATCATTGTGCAGGTAGCATTCATCTTTAATTCATACCGAATTACACGAACGGAATAGATTATCATTTCTCTTCTAGGGGCTTGTATATTTGGGTAACTCCTGTAACGTAGACTAATAATTTTCTCTGTGAAATGTTTCTAGTAAGAGGACCACAGCTGAAATGTAAGGTTTTGCTATAAACTGTTGAAATGTACATGTCAGCCAGGGGACAAGTGCTTGGTGTGCAGCCCTTGGTAGTTGAGATTTTCAGTGGTTAATCAAAAGCTACTGAGCTGGTTGTGAAAGAACTCAATTACTCAGAGCCGGGTGGTGGCGGCTCACACCCTTAATACCAGCACTCAGGAGGCAGAGGCAGGCGGAACTCTGTGAGTTCGAGACCGGCCTGGTCTACAAGAGCTACTTCCAGGGCAGCCTCCGAAGCTACAGAGAAACACTGTCTCGAAAAACCAACAACAACAAAAACAAAACAAAGAACTCATAAAGTCAATAACTATAGAGCCCGGCGGGCTCTGATCTTTGCCTTCCCTAGGTAGTGCGGAAGTCTCTCTGTGTGAACACACTTTTGCAAATGCCCATGGTTACCTGCTTTGACACCAGATGCTGCTGGTAGCTGGGTTAAGTCACTGGTGTTGCCCATGCATTTGGCGACTGTTCTAGACAGCACACTGCTCTTACAGTGGGTTTCCACAGTGAATAATACATGTGGAGTCCGGTTGTGAGCAGCCTGGGTTCAAAGCTTAGCTTGACTCTGATCTTTCCAGGTCTCAGTTCTCTCATCTGTAGAATGGAAATGATAATGCTAGTGATCTATCAGGAGGTATAAACATTAGAACTGACCCAGTGCTAAGGAGGATGGACTGCCTGGAGTAGCTCCCCTGCCCCAACCCTACCCTCAGCACTAAGCCAAGAGGAAGGTTAGAGCCATGCAAGCCTGGAGTCATAAAAGCTCTCCTCTCTCCTGGTTTGGCAAACAGACTAAGCCCCTTGTAGGGAGCTGGGGAGTGGTTGTCCTCCTTCTCTGTTTATTTTTTTTTTCCAGAATGGGGGTGGGGTGGGTCTTTGGGTCATAAAATAACATCTGCTCAGTGCTGCCTGTGCAAATCTTACTGTGAAAAAGTCTGTCTGAGACTGGAGGTTGCCACGCTGGTGGTCCCTCTGCCTGCCTCCCCCAGCCCCTGAAGTACAGGGCCCAGGGGTGACCCAGTTGGAGGGAGGCTTTTGTTTTAAGGACAGACCCGCCTCCTGCTCTCCAACCCCAAACAACTCACCATGCTAAGCATTCACAGAACATGTATTTTTGTTGTTGTTTAGTTTGTTTTTTATCTTAGAAGTCCCCCTAGTCATGTCCTGAAATGGATGAAGTAAAACTCATCTCTCTAAGCAGGCGTGGACAGGGGATCTCCTGAGCACCTTGGACTTGGGGGGAGTCTATTTGGGGAGTGACTGAGGAGCAGAGCTGGTGGGGGTGTTGGGGAGTGCCCTCCAGACCCTAAGGCTGGGTCACCAGGGTCCTGTTTTCTCCTCCAACATGCTTATCTCTTTACAGCTGTAGCCAAAGTGTCAGGTCTGTAATGATGGTTTTGATTACAGAGGCCAAGCCCAGCTGTGTGTGTGTGTGTGTGTGTGTGGCGAGCTGGTGGGCTCACCCATCCCCCCAAGCCCAGAAACCCCAGCCCCACCCACCCACCCACCCACCCAGGGCTTGCGGTTTGTCATCTGTCCCTCACAGAGCCTCCTTGTATTGGCCTGTGGCTTCCTGTTCTCAAACAGATCCAAATTTGCCCTGTGAGGTATTTCCCCATGCCCCTCCCTCCTCCACGCACCCCTCCACTTGGAAGGAAGGGTGACGGAGAGGATGAGAACCGGAGGAGAGTGAATAGGTGTTGGCTGTGATCTTTACACAACCTGGCAGCGGATCCCCACAGCTTGTATTAGCTACACAAGTCAAACAGATGGATCAGATTGACAGTCGTGTTCACTTGCCCTGACTCCAGGGCAAGCTGCTGTTGGAAGTTAGGAGCATGAATGGGGTTTTACTGCTCTGGGTGGGATTTCTGGTCCTGTTGAGGAACTCCTGACGTAGCCCCCTGTGTGGCATGAAATGGTTAATAGGTATGGTATGTGTCTTTCTCTTCTCCCTAGAGTATCCATGAAGTTTTTTTTTTGTTGTTTTGTTTTTTTTTTTAAAAAGGAGAGTTGAGCTAGCCACGGTGGAGCTCACCTTTATTGGGGCTGGCGGAGGCAGAGACAGCTGGGTTTCTGTTAGTCCCAGGCCAGCCTGGTCTGTATAGTAAGGTCTAGGTGTAGGCCAGGCATGGATACATAGTGAGACCTTGTCTTCCCCCCCCAAAATTGATCTTTCCATTTACTTTATTTATTTATTTATTTATTTATTTATTTATTTATTTTAGACAGGATCATTCTATGTAGCTCTGGCTATCCTGGGATTCACTATGTAGACCAGGCTGGCCTTGAACTCACAGAGATCCACCTGCCTCTGCTTCCTGGGTGTTGGAATTAAAGGCTTGTGCCCTCAGAGGCCAGAAGAAGGCATTGTCTCTGGGGTTCCAGTTACAGGCACTTGTGTGCCCTCCAAAGTAGATTCTCTGGTCTGAAGTTGGATTCTCTGGAAGAACAGCAAGTGCTCTGAGCCAGCTATCCAACTCCTGGATTTTTGCTCCTTAGTTTTAAGTAAATTGTGTGTGTGTGTGTGTGTGTGTGTGTGTGTGTGTGTGTGTGTGTGTGTGTGTGTGTGTGTGTTTACTTCTCCCCTCCGAGCAGCAATTGATTAGCGCTGTGTAGTCCTTTCTTAAGTGAGAGAAAGTTGCAGATAAGTCCCCCCCACCCCGCCCCGCCCACTACTGTCCTCGGCGTAATCTCTCGGGACCAGCCCTCTTGGTCTAGGTTTTAATGTGTTGCACATGTTTGCTGTTTCCAGGACTTCAGGATGCATTTGACAGCGACTGGGAAACAGGGAGGATCATGCCGAACAATTACAAAAATGGATCGGACGATGGGGTCCTCGCCTACAAACTCCTGGTGCAGACTGGCAGCAGAGACAGGCCCATCGACATAAGCCAGGTATTTCCACTGTTCCAAGGGCACTGTACGCAGTGACTTCCAGGCAGCTAACCTGTGGCAGTCGGGCTGGCATTGCGTGACCCCAGTTTGTGTTCCATGAGGGCCTGAAGAGACAGGAGATGGTAACTAGGCTGTGACCTCAAGCTAGCCAGAAAGCTTCCCTTTCCCCTCTTGTGAAGTGAGGGGCAAGTGTTGCCTCTTAACACAACAGCAGGGAGCAAAACACAGTGTTGGCAAGTGCAGACTTTTTCCCAGCGACTCAGACTGGGCTTTCAGAGTTTAATACTCATGTCTATGGTGTATTCAGACATGGGACAGCGGGTTTGTTGGGCAACAGTCATTTGAACAGAGGTTAGGTCGGTGGGTGACTTAGAAGTTCAGACAGGTCACTCGGTGGTGGAAGTATATATTTGTTACTAAGGCTTTGGGGTCAGCCTGGCCCCAAGAGTAGGTGCTGGGTACAGGCAGCTTGCTGTTGGCCGGATTGTAGCAAAACGGAAGTGTATACCCTTCCCCACACTGCTCAGTCCTTGGCAATGAGAGCTGTTCTTTTTGGTAGTATTCTGTGTTTGAAGCGTTTGGATTCTGGCATGTCCCCTTTGGTTTCCTTGGGCATGTTCAGGGGTATCTTTGCCCACTGGATTTGGAGTGAGTCCTAGGCCTCTTTGCTCTCGGGAGTTTGCTTTCTGTACCTTTAGGCGGAGAGCATTTAAGTCAGTGATCTCTTAGGTAGCTCTGTGTATTGTCCCCTCCCTTTTGGCTGGCGTTAAAGGTGACGATTCACAAAGTACGTTGTTCAGTCATCGTGGGGTGTGAAGTTTGGAGCTTCAGAGTGGGCATGCCATGGGCCGTCCGGTCTGACAAGAGTATGGCACAGCAACCTGCCTTCGAGGGTAGCAGAGAAGCACTGAATTGGACTTAGGGACCAGGGAGTCTGTGGGATGCCTGTGGCGGAGGCTAGGCACCAAGATGCCATTTCCTCTCCCGGGAGAAGGAATTGTGTGCTGCATGCACGGAGGCTAGGAGCTGTGCTATGTAATTCCAGAGACGGTCTGAGGACCTACAGTTGTGAGAGATCCCGTGGATTAATTGAATCCAGATCCCTGCCTGCCGTCTTTGCTTCTCTCCATCTCTTGCATGCTCTTTATTCCTCCACTCTTTCTCCGTGAACTGCTGTCACTGGTGTTTTTCATTTTGTTAAAAAAGAAAAAGACCAAACGTTGGAAGGAGGCCTAGATCTAAAGTAAACAGGAAATTTTTTTTCGGCGTATCTACCGTATTTATAATCCACACTCCATCTCATAGTGTCTTTGACCCAAGCAAAGCCCACAAGACCTACTGTGGGAGCAGATATGGCCACTGAATCTGACCAGAGCTCAGAAGTGAGATTACTTAGAAGGCTTTGCATCATGGTCTTCTACTTTCTGGCAGTGGGTGGGTTTTTTTTTCTTTTTCTGAATACACAGGTCATCGGAGGCTGTGTTAGCAAAATTTATACAGATGTTGTTTTATTTTATAGCTCCCCTCCATTTACTGGGTGGTATTTCCTTCAGTGTTAACAACAGAGGTTAACTGCACACAGACGTGGATGGGGATTGCGTGCCAGGTCCCCCCCCCCCGCCCCTCCTATAAATATGTTTTTCCAGATTGTTCATTACCCGCCTTGGCTGCAGACAGTCTCTTTTAGCATTCAGACTTAATTGGTTCAGCCGATCCCTGGGCCATCTGCAGAACCGTGTGTTTGCTGTAAACACGCTGGTGATTGCATTCCCACCCCCACCCCCCCACCCTCGGTAGGTGCATTTTGAAAGACATCAAAGGTATTCTTGTGGGACCTGGGGCACTGTCAAGCCACGGGCATTCTACTGTTTGCTGGAAATGTGGGTGCAAAGCCTTGCTCTCCTGGCAGGAGTGTGTTTGTCCCAAAGCCCTCTCTGAATGACCTCTGTTCTTCGTTCTGTAGTTGACTAAGCAGCGTCTGGTGGATGCAGATGGCATCATTAACCCCAGTGCATTCTACATCTACCTGACGGCTTGGGTCAGCAACGACCCCGTGGCTTACGCTGCCTCCCAGGCCAACATCCGGCCTCACCGACCGGAATGGGTCCACGACAAAGCCGACTACATGCCGGAGACCAGGCTGAGAAGTAAGTAGCAGTCTACCCAGAGAGGCTGGGAGCTCTCAGAGGCAGGCCCCCGTTACTTGCAGCCTGGAGCTCAGCAACGGCCTCATTCGTTGACACTACCCAGGGTTCAAAAGTGTAAATAGAACAATATATTTCTTTTAGTTTAAAACTCTGGGAGACAGATGAGGATGTGTAATGGAATACAGCCCTGCACTCTCACTTTGAGAAATAATCGTTTCTAACCCTCCTTTTGTAGCTTTAACTCCAGACGTTTCTCCCTGATGCCAGCTGTTCCATGTGAACGTTGGGGACGCCTCCACATTGAGTGTTATTTTACTATTGCCGAGTTTTATCGCTAGGGATTATGTGTTTATCTTAACTTTGTCAACTCTGGTGTTGAAGGGATTTTTTTGGCATGTTGGGTCATTTCTATAAACCACCAAGCACCTGTGCTCTGTCAGAACTGTTTAAACTGGAGAAGAAACGTCTGTATACACCAGTGTTCCCCTCTTCCCTTCACCTCTAAGCCTGGGGTTTGAAAGGTGGCTCTGTGTGGATTTAGTTTGCATTTATGTTAGAGATGTGAGTAGCAGCATGTGCTTTCGTGTATTGGGGCCAAGAGAAGACATGAGAAAGAAGACGGGTCCCTTTGCAGACAGGGCAGGCAGCAGTCAGAACTCCCCTGTGCCAACCCCCAGAGACTGGTGGCAAGCAGCCAAGGCTTGTCTTAATGAAAATTTATAGTTGAGATTATAATAGGGCAAATCATGTTTAGCAAGTCAACTGAATGACCCCCAAAGGGTGTGGAACACACAAGGGCAGTAACTAAATGCCTGTTATGTGGGGATTTCTTCCCCTCTTGCCGAAGACTTAGCATTACATTAGAAAAGCAGGGAAGGTTTAAGTTGTTAGGTCACTGAGGGACAAGAAAGTAAAGTGTCTTTTCTTCAAGGCATGACTCTGGGATTATTTTGGTGGAGGCGAGCAAATTGAATGTGTCAACAAAAAAACATTTTTCAGCATTTAAGCCTTACAGCAATTAGGGTTCTCGCAAGTGGTAGTTGCTTCTGGAATAGTTAAAAAATAAAAAAAAAAATCAAAGGCTTATGAGAAAACCACAGATCACAGAGGCCTACCGCTGCACACCTCACTACCACCAAGGAAAAAAATCCAAGGGTTGGTTCTGGGCTTCAGGAGATAGCCCAGTGGGTAGCGAGCTTGGCCGCACATGCATGAGGACTGGGGTTTGAATCCCCAGAGCCCACGTAAAGCAGTGTGTTGCAGCGTACCTTGTAATCCCAGTACAGTGAGGCAAGATGGAAGAGGGGGATGGGGACTGTTCCTGGGAGCTCCAGGACTGGCTAGCCTAGAATACGAAATGGCAAACAGCAAGAGACTTTTCCACTAAGAAGGTAGAAGGAGGAGGTTGGGCATCCAAGGTCGTCCTCTGACCTCCGCAAGTGTGCCTGAGTGAATCGCTGCATATGCACGTGAAAACAATGGATTGTTAGTGAGAAGGAAGGTAACGAGTGGAGTGAGCTTGTGGGACTTCTGTGGAGTTTGGGACTTGGAGGCTCTCCCGCCGAGGTTCCCTCACTCACCTCACTTCTGCTCTGTCCAGTCCCAGCAGCGGAACCCATCGAGTACGCTCAGTTCCCTTTCTACCTCAACGGCCTGCGAGACACTTCGGACTTTGTGGAAGCCATTGAAAAAGTGAGAGTCATCTGTAACAACTACACAAGCTTAGGGCTGTCCAGCTACCCCAACGGCTACCCCTTCCTCTTCTGGGAGCAGTACATCAGCCTCCGCCACTGGCTGCTGCTAGCCATCAGCGTGGTGCTGGCCTGCACGTTTCTGGTGTGCGCAGTCTTCCTGCTGAACCCCTGGACGGCTGGGATCATTGTGAGTTTACTATAAGGGTCTTTATGGAAGTCGGATTCCTTTCGGCATAGCTCTTTCTGCAGCCGGGAAGTTTTGTTTATGTCTGGGCCTTTGGAGGAGGAGGGTATAGATTGCATCATCTGTAAGATATTTATTCTGCTCGAAGTGGTGAGGTTCATGGGGAAGGTAGAGCCTCTAATGGCCGGAATCTGTGTCCCCTCTCACACAGTATTAAAACGTGCATGTGTAAGGTAGGAGGCTTTGTAAGCACGCTGCATTAAAGGTACCGAAATCTCGTTAAAAGAAAAATAACCAGCGCATAACTAATTTTCCAACTCTAGAAAGTCTTATTTTGTGGCCTCGTACTACCTAGACCTGATAACGTGTAGCGGGTTCTTCTGTGCATTATGGGGAAGCATGCCCAGAGGAGTTGAGACAGATGCAGGGTTGGGAGATGACATGTGGGCTCCTCGCGCATAGCGTATGCAGTAACTAAGCTGTTTCTCATAGCCGGTTTGGAGCATCTTGCCTTCAAAACACCTTCAGATTTGAAGTGAGTCTCATGTAGTCTGGGATCCTGGCATTGCTTAAGCTCCATGAACTGTGGGATAGGCTTTAAAACTCCGGAATTATGAAAACAGGTTTTGTTTCTGTGCTGAGTCTGGGTAGCAGGTACATTAAAGGTAAATGTTTAGTCTGCAGAAGCCTTCACAGCACTTAAGCCATGGATGGCGTCCATCTTTCCACCGTTTCTCCCCACCTCTGCCACCACCCACCGTCCTATCCCCAAGCAGGAAAGATCATTCTCTTTCATTCATTCTGACATGTGGGGGATGGTGGGGGAGGTTCACAGACTCCCCTTGGCCCAAGAAACTCTGAAGTCTCCCTTGTAGGTACTCTTACTGTTCTCCGCGCGTTTTTTACAAGGGAGATGAAAGGCTCTGATGCCTTTCCTTAAACCCCAGGGTCTGCTCTGTGGGTCCCAGCTGCTTTCCATCTCTTGAAAGCATCAAGGCACCCCCTCTTCCCCCGTAACCTGACACATGTCCACCAGTGGCCTAGCCCACAACGAAGAACACTGCAGTATGAACTAACGGAGTTATAGGACACTTTCTGGTGTTTAAGGTTAAAAGCCTTGCTGTGACCCGCAGTTGTCTTAGTTCTTGGCTCTGGGACCCCTGTGTACCAAGTCCCCTGAGACTCAAGTTGGGTATAATTAAGGCAGTACTCTTATTTGCAGTGCAGCCTGTGCATACCGCCCTCCCACCCCCACCCCCTTGTTGTATTACCCTGAATTATCTCTAGTAACTGTTCCTGATGAAATAGTCATGGGAAAAGAGACTAGACTCTGATAGTATACATCTTCATAGATGGCTCATGGGTGTGGTCCCTTTATTTTTTTCCCTTTGTAGGCTAGGAATATCAGAAAAATAATTTGCCAAGAGTATTAAACTGGTGAATAGGAAGATATAGCTAGGTGATTAAGTACCGTCTGACGCACAGCACAAGTTGGGTATGGCGGTGTGTGGCTAGGGAGGCAGACACAGGAGGAGGCCTGACCAGCCAGCCTGGCCTGCTCAGTGAGAGAACCTGTTTCAGTGGAGGTTCCGGAGAAGCACACCACACTTTAATTCTAGCTTCTGCATGCACACGCGCGCGCGCGCGCGCACACACACACACACACACACAAACTTTGCCTCCACAAACACCTTTTTTTAGCCTGACGGTAAGTTGTCCTAACATCCCCCTTCCAGCAGGAGGCTGAAATGTGAGATGTGAATCCCTCCAGAGGTGAAGGAAGTCGGTACTTTTTCATAGTATTTAGGTGACAGGCATATTGCTGCTCCCCATCTCAAAACAAAGCCACATTACACTGGGATTGTTGATTTGCCCCCCCTTGCCACTCCTGGTTACCTTGTGCCAACCTGACTAATTGTCGTGTGCCTTCCCCAAGGTCATGGTCCTGGCTTTGATGACAGTTGAGCTCTTCGGCATGATGGGCCTCATTGGAATCAAGCTGAGCGCCGTGCCTGTGGTCATCCTGATTGCGTCTGTCGGCATCGGAGTGGAGTTCACCGTCCATGTGGCTTTGGTATGGGCGGTCCCTAGGGGAAATTGGCTGACGGGGCAAAGGAACCTGGGACAGCTTCAAGCACAGTCCTCCCCCAAGGAAGTCTGAAATGTCTTAGGGGCTCTTAGTCTCTCGGGGAGTCCTAGATAAGAGACACGGGGACTCAGAATGACTGCACGCCACCTCAGTGTGTCAGGACCGTAAGGGCTCAGCACATCGGTACTGTGTTTTGACTGGTAGCCCTCCTGTCTTGAAGCTGCCATCATTGTCTCAAGATAATCCACACAGTTTTTTTTTTTAAGTACAATCATAAAGTGGGGATAAAACAAGACCACCCTCAGAGGCTTGGTGGGGATAGCATAATTGAGGGTGAGGTGAGCTGGCAGCCGCAGAGATACCCTCGGGCCTGTGAATGAAATCTCCGGTGCACAGCCCTGAAGAGCCTGCTCTTCCACCTCAGCCCACCCAGCTCTGGAGACCTCCCAGCTTCTGAATGTGTCCGCGGCAGCAGGAAACAAGGGAACCGGGGACGCTTTCACCAGAGCTTCGACCCTTTTTTCTTTTACACACTGGCTTTATGCTGGAAGAAATGAACCTGAAACAGGGTCTAGAATCCAAAAGATGAGCCAGCCGTGCACACTGATGAGAAAAATCAGTCGAAAAGCCTTGGGGAGGGGGAGTGCAGTTTACTTCTCTGCCTACAGATGTGCTCGCATCCTGAGTGTACCTGGGGCTGTTCACCGGCATTCAGTAAGCGCATATTGACTCAGTCAGTGCTGGTGTTTGGAATGCTCAAGCTGGCCTGAACCAAGTGAGGCTAGCATTGCTGTTCCAGCGTTGTTCTTGGAGCCTAGCACGTGGCATGTGCCCTCTGTAGCCTCTCAGAGCTGCCGCCGCACTCACGGGCTGTGGACTTGGGTGCTTGGAAGGAAGGTTGTGGAGCTGTTAGTAAGATGATGATTTAGGAACACTTGCGCTTGTAGAGGCTGGGAGGGGGATAATAAATACTGTTACTGAGGCACCGTTCACCTCATTTTGGGGGACAGAGTGTCTCACTGGCCTAGAGCTAGGCTGGCTGATCGGCAGGGTCCAGGCACTTGCCTGTCAGGATTATAAGCCTGGACCATCATGCTTTGGGTTTTGTCCAAGATACATGCATCATCACTAGCTATGATCCAATAATATGAACAGGGCATTGTAGTGAAAGCAAATAAACATTCTAGGAGCTAAGCAGTAAAATCTTGAGCATGTTTTGGAGAGAAAGGTAAAGACAGAATGCAGAATTTCATGTAGACCTGAGGCCGAGACTTTAGCTCAGTTGGTAGACTTGCCTAGCTAAGGTAACATCACAGCTACCTGTAATTCCAGCTCCAGGGTATCTCCCGTCCTCTTTTCTGTCCCCTGTAGGCACCAGGCAAACACATGGTGTACAGACTTACATGATGCATACATGCAAGCAAAACACCCACACACATGACACTTTCTTCTGAAGATCAAATAAACAATGCTTTATTGTGACCACCCATCCCCCCCAAAAAATAAAGTCATCGTTTTGTCTTTATTGATACATTTTAGATGATTTTTTCCCTAGTTATAGAGTGGTCTCTTTGAGGTGATTCCACCCTCCAACACGAGCTTGAGAATTATTACTTGTACGGTGGGCAGCTCTAGCTGAGGTGGTGTAATCTGCTTGCCTCGCCTGCAGGAGGCTCCAGGCTCTCTCCCCAGCACCACAAAAAGACCAGGCATGGTAGACGGCCTGAGCACTCCAGAAGTAGAGCCAGGGGGATTTCAGTGACGCTTGAGGCCAACCCAAAAGAGACACATGAGAAAAATCCAACACAACCTGAGTGTAGGCAGAGCAGCTGAGCACTTGAGCACGTACAGTCCAGGAATGTGACGTCTCCATTCTTCCTTTGCCCAGGCCTTTCTGACAGCCATCGGTGACAAGAACCACAGGGCAACGCTTGCCCTGGAGCACATGTTCGCTCCCGTTCTGGACGGTGCTGTGTCCACTCTGCTGGGCGTTCTGATGCTTGCAGGGTCGGAGTTTGATTTCATCGTCAGGTAAGCCAGAAGTGGAACTGGGGGACTTGGTGCGAAAGCCGGCGGCTTGCTTGCGTCCTCTTCGTGGCTCACTCCTCTGTCTGGCAAGGGGGCGGCATCTCAACCTGCCTGAGGCGTACAGACGCGTTCTCTTAGCAAACTCCCTGGTCTGGAAGGTGTCTTGGGAGATGGAAGGGGAAAAGGCTAGGGTAGGGGCAACTCCGTGCCTTGAAGCTGGAGAGTCACCTGGCATCCCGAGTGTCGAGATTTCCCAGTTCTCAGATGTCTACAGAGAGATGACTGTGGCTGGTAACTTACAGTGTTCAGCTTTGGTTCTCTCTTCTCCAGAACTGCGTGTAGAAGGGGCTAGAGATGTAGCTCAGTGGGGTGCCTTGGCTTCTGTCTCCCACACCCCATGAAACCTGTGTGGGAGGCTCATCTCTGCAATCCCAGTTTTTGTACATGTATTGAGTTTGAGGACATGAGACCCTGCCTTAAAAAAACCATAGGGGGGAAAAACTTAGCATACCTCCAGTATAAACTTTACACGGGAAATGAGTACAGTGTACCCAGATTTTGTGTTTGGATCCCTTCTGAGACTTCATCAGCACCAGACTTCAGGGTCACATTCAGGGACTCCAAGCCTGGCCTGTGTACTCCTCTTTGGATCACAAGGCGGGGTTTTGCTACATGATGTGGGTAAGATGGAGACTTCCAAAAGTGCAAACGCCAGTGAGTTTTCATTTTGTAAAGAATCTAGAGATTGGAACAAGAAAGAAAGGATACTGTCTCCTTCATAAGTGCTGTTGGCTTCACTAGGTGTAAAACCATGATGTATTGCGAAGAGGCAAAACCAATGTCCTCAGTGTGTAAGACACTAGTGCGTCTTTAGAATAAGAGAATGTATGGTGCTCCATGTCTGGAGATTTGACCCAATCGGGCTGCCCTTGGGAGCATCCTTTGGTTTCTCTTCTGTTGGGACTCTCTGAACCAGGACTGCTCTGTGCTTTGCTTAGAACTCCTGTATAGTCTGGCTGCTCCCCAGACCACTCTCTAGGGAAAACACTACTGTGTCTAACGCAGGAAAGTGTGAAGAAGAAAAGAAAATGCTTCTTTAAAGGGATGGGTGTTAGGGTGTTGTTTGTTTCTGAAACAGGTCTGGTGTAGCCTGGGCTTGCCTCAAACTTGTGATGTAGCCGAGAATGGCTTCGAACTGCTGACTGTCCTGCCTCAGCCTTCTGAGTGCTAGAATTACAGGCATGTGCTACCACATCTGGCTCTAATCAAGCTTTTCATGTGTATGCACAAAGGCTGGCCAAGCAGGGAAGCTTACCCTTCCAGATGAAATGGGGAGTTTGAGCTAGAAAAGTTTTAGCTGAAGATGAATACAAAAAAGTTAAGTTACATCGGAGGTGTAGCTCCGTGGTACAGCAAGTATCTGCCTAAGGTGCAGGGGTCACAAGTGGGTTCATCCCCCCACTACCAGAGGAGGGAAAAGAAAGGCTCAGTCTTGAGGCATAGCCCATTGGACAGCCAAGCTCCCAGGGCTTTCTGGAATGAGGGTATGGTTGACTCACTGTTTGAGGGTAGAGTAAGCAGAAGAGGTTGACTGGTCTCAGTATAGACCAGCACTCTGTATAACGTGCTTCCTGATCATCTGGGGCTGTTAAAGTACAGACAGACAGAAGCCTTCCCAGGCAACTGTCAGGCAAGCCCAAGCATGCCAGTCTTCACACAGCCTATTGATAAGTTAGTAAACCAATCAACAAATTCTCCTTTGTCAAAAACTGAGGAGATATATGATTTAACTTAGATGCTGGATTGGGTATTTGGCATTTATTTCCTCTGCACACTTTTACACGGATACTAGCTTCTGTCTTTCTGGCACAAAGCCCAGTGCCCAATGTGACTGCTTCAGCATGGTCTCTGGGCTGCTCCAACACAAAGGTAATGCCAGCCTCATGAGTGCCATTTTTGTGACCACTGGCAAACAGCACATAACCTATTCTGCCGTGTGGTTTATAGTCTGCCGGGATCGGGAGATACCAAGTCTCCCCAGCAGTTCAAAGCCAAGAGAAATAAATGCAAGGTGTGCTGGGACCTTGCAGGTTAGCTGAGGAGCCAGTGCAGAGCTTTGCAAAGGATTCTACAGAGCAGAGCCCATTTCCTCACCCCTTCCTAACTGGGGCTGCTCATTTGTTCCCAGAGATATCGGGGTTCCTGTTTCAAGCACTTAGAAGGGCTTCCCATTTTCTAAAATAGGATGGATAAAGTCCTCACCAGAGTTGAATAAATGAGCAGACACTGTATACATGAAGCCGTCAGAAGTCTAATTGGTCTGTTTATGTTGCAGCTAGATGGATGGGATGCAAATGTCTTAATGCCTGCTGCTGATATATGCCTCCACCAAAAGTTCCACAGTTTATGTTAGAGCAAGACATTGGCAGCTTGGGTTTTTACTAATGCAGCTCAGCGGGCTTTAGTGTTTACAATAGCTGTGAGGTATTTGTATTTTTATAGGGATTCTCTCTCCTTTCATCCGATGTCAAAACATACATAGACATGGCATTGTAGGATGGCTGTTCAGTTTTATGATCTTGGGGACCATTAACAGATAGATATCTAGCCCTCCCTCTTTCTTTCCAGAACATCCCAACCCCAGCTCCACCCCCACCCCACCCCCAGTCCAGTTCCATCAAAGCCCTAGAAATCATTAGTTCCAGAAAAGCATCCTTGCGTGGAGGGTGCACCCCTCCAGCTGTGCAGAGTGCCGACCAGAGGCGGGCCCTGGCTGACAGGTTTACCTTGGTATTCTTGAAGGATCCCAGACCTTTAGCCCTCAATGGTGGGAACTCAGAACTCGCTGTTCACTCTCCCTCTTCTGCCATGGTGCTTCAGCCTTTATGTTTGAATTGGCTGACGCAAAACAAGAGTATTCAAAGATGCTAAATTGTTCAACAAAAGATTGGCCTGCGGAGCAGCCTGCCATTGTGGAGAGCCCTCGCCCCGTACAATGCCCCGGCTCCCACAGAATGGGCAGCGCTTTCTTTGCAGGGCTGGTTCCTGTGTTCTAAAAAAGGTTGCAATTGGAGCTATTTGGTAAAACTGGAACCCAGAGAATTCCAGGCAGAAAGTTGTGATTAATGAAAGCCCAGGGAAACCCTTACCTGATGCGCCGGGAGTCTTAATTAGAGACTCTGCCCTAAGAGGCAGGGGCATTTCACAGTGGATTAGCAGCCTGCAGAAGCAGGCTGCTTTTCCTCCTGGGCCAAATTGTTTAAATTCTACACCCTTCACTTCATTTGTTTGCTTCTGCTGGGTTTTCGCGAGCGGGGCCCCTCGGCATTGTATCTGTGCTTTCAGGTTATTCAGCCATTCACTTCCCGTTCCATATTTCTGTGTTGGTGTAACACATTCATAAATAACATTACAGGCATGAGATTTCAGCAAATTAACAAACTAATTCCCTCTCCCCCCACACGCACCCTTTTCATGAACTAACACTCCAGTGTGTGGAATGTAGTCCTTGGAGTCATAAGGTAAAAAAAAGAACAAAACCCCACACCAACCTTGTGTTACAAGTTTGAACTACGGTTCCGTGACTGGCTTTTCAGAGGAGTGGGGTTATTGAGCTGAGCTCGCGGTTGCAGAACACGACTTGGGTGCGTGGAGGCGCGGGGTGCTTTCTTTTCACCCTGACAGGTCCCGTGTCCCTTTTGTCTTCCAGATATTTCTTTGCTGTCCTGACGATCCTCACCGTCTTGGGGGTCCTCAATGGACTGGTTTTGCTGCCTGTCCTCTTGTCCTTCTTTGGGCCGTGTCCTGAGGTCAGTGATCGCCAGGGTGAGACACTCACCCCACAGGCCACCTGCTTTCCCCAGTGCCCCTCCTGATTGAGATCTGTAGGGTGCCGCTCTGTTTGCTGATGGTGTGGCCCCTTCAGTAGACATCCAGCAACAGTGGCTGTTTCGCTTTGCCGTTTGATAGTTCAGGCTGGGGTCTGTGGAGCAAACTTTTGTTTCAGATCAGCTGATGGGCAGCTTTAAGTCTTGGGGATATGTAAAGGAAGGTTTTTCCTACCTCAGATAATGTGTTTGGGCTTAACAGGTGTAAAGGACACCGTAGCCTGCCTTTCTGGTGTTGGAAGACAATAGGTTCTGTTTTCCCCGCCAGTGTCTTGAGTGCCTGGCCAGGTGGGGGGGGATGCAGTGTGATGTATGGGGCTCTCTTTGTCGGGTGTTGGGGGCTGATGAATAACACTGGGCTTCGAACTTTTAAGATGAGCCAACAGGTAAAAAGAATGTAACGCTTCTAATTGGGGAATGTCCTTAAATAGGTGTCTCCAGCCAACGGCCTGAACCGGCTGCCCACTCCCTCACCCGAGCCGCCCCCAAGCGTCGTCCGGTTTGCGGTGCCTCCTGGTCACGTGAACAATGCATCTGACTCCTCTGACTCGGAGTACAGCTCTCAGACCACAGTGTCCGGCATTAGCGAGGAGCTCAGGCAGTATGAGGCCCAGCAGGGTTCCGGAGGTCCTGGCCACCAAGTGATTGTGGAAGCCACAGAAAACCCCGTCTTTGCCCGGTCCACTGTGAGTAACCTAGGGGACTGGGAAGGATTCATCTCTCCTCTGGCAGTGGGCCGGGAGGTCTAGGGGAGGTCCAGGGAGATCTGCTGCTCAGATCTCATAGACAGATGGGTGCAAGAAACCAAAAGGTCAAATCACAGGAAACTGCCAGCATGCCATTCTTTGCAAAACTATGACATGCTTCCTTTTTAATCTTGTGGATTGAAGCAGCAGTGCGAACAGGGGGGGCGTAGCTTACCTAGAATACTCAGAGCCCTGGGGCTCACCCAGCCCGGCCATTATTCAGAGTGGACTCAGCGGCAGGCCCGTACTTCCTGTCCCCTTCCTATCCTTTTACCCCACCAGCCATTTCAGACTGGTATTCGAGGAAATATAATAAATAGTGTATCATACTGCCAGGAGAAGCATTTTCTTTTCTTCTTCTTCTCGTCCCTTTAACTAGCCTTGGGACAAAAAATTATTTTCATTGTTTATCTGAGGTTTTCCCCATAGCTTTGTGGGTGGAGATTTCCTTGAAGTTCAGAAGCATCCCAAGTTCTTACCAATTCCTGCAGGTAGTGAGGAATCCGACAGGCTCTCTTCCTTACCCACGGCAGCCCCCAGTCAGGATGCTCAGCCTTAAAAGAGCCGGGGAAGGCTCCAAAGTTCCCATTGCTCGCCTGAGGCCCCCACCATCCTTACAGGAAATGTGTATTCCAGTCCCAGGCTAGAGCAGCCTTCCATGAAGGAGAGAGTGGCTAGTCAATGAATTGTGTCATGGTCGTCACCGTGCCCCTAACTCCCTCCCCCCCCCACCCACGACGATGCCCTGCTGGGCTGCAGTGTGAATCTGGTTTTGTTCGGCAGGGGCCTAAAAATAGGTACAAGCTCAACGACTTTGAAGTTGGTCACGGTCCTTTTGATTGATGTGGCCACTGTGTTGCTCGAGCTTTGTACAGAGACCCAGAAACCAGATTCCTAATGGTCAGGCAGGGAGACGAATGTGTCTGAAGGAACTATCCGTGATGGTAGAAGTTTTAGCTCCGCTCTTCAGTACAATTAGCTACTGGCCACACCTGGCTTGGGGTTGGGGCAGGCGAAACAAGTCTGTACGACCCAGAAACCGGAGCCCTTACGTCTCTGAAAGCTACTGTGTTTATGATTGCACGCGTACCGATACACGCGGCCTCTTGACCATCCAGGAATAGACACTTAGCAGTTAGAGGAAAAGAGCCTAGGGTCTGGATAGACTGATCAGGGGGGAAGCTGGTTTGTGGGAGTGAAGCCGTTCACGCAGCTGTGCACGGCAGCTACGTGCCTCTTGCTGGCTGTGTTGTAGCAGGGCAAGATCCGTATCCTGGAGTTACTTAAAAAGTGGGATTCCTTCTGTGGATGGAAGGACCCCACCTTACAAACTCCCTGTGTCACCTCTGCAGGTGGTCCATCCTGAACCCAGACATCACCCTCCCTTGAACCCTCGGCAACAGCCCCACCTGGACTCGGGCCCCTTGCCTCCTGGACGACAAGGCCAGCAGCCTCGAAGGGACCCCCCCAGAGATGGCTCGCGGCCACCCCCGTACAGACCGCGAAGAGACGCTTTTGAAATAATTTCTACTGAAGGGCATTCTGGCCCTAGCAATAGGGACCGCTCAGGCCCCCGCGGGGCCCGTCCTCACAACCCTCGGAACCCGACGACGTCCACTGCCATGGGCAGCTCCGTGCCCAGCTACGGCCAGCCCATCACTACCGTGACGGCTTCCGCTTCTGTGACTGTGGCTGTGCACCCCCCGCCGCCGCCGCCGCCGGGACCTGGGCGCAACCCCCGAGGGGGACCCTGCCCAGGCTACGAGAGCTACCCCGAGACTGACTACGGGGTGTTCCAGGACCCCCATGTGCCTTTTCACGTCAGGTGCGAGAGGAGGGACTCGAAGGTGGAGGTCATAGAGCTACAGGACGTGGAGTGTGAGGAGAGGCCGTGGGGGAGCAGCTCCGACTGAGCTGTGTGCCCCAGGTGCCCCAGGGGTGCTTTCCAGGGTTACCTGAGCACTGGCACATCCCCAAACTGGACCCTGGGGGACCTTTTCTCCCCCCCGCCAAGGCAAGGCTGATGTGGCCCAAACCAACACCGTTTCCAAACCGGATTTCTTCCCTTTTCACTAGCAATCTTTTTGGTTTAACAGCCCTGCCTCGCACCCCGTTTGCCGCCACCTGCAGCAGAGTTCCAGCAAGCGTGCAGATGACCTTGCAAGGTGGAAGTAGATGAAATTAATTTAGAGCCACAGTCAGCCCATTGTAGAGTTGCCGTGTTCTCGGCGCCCACGCAGAGTCAAGGGGGCTGTGTTGCGTGGGAGGCGCACAGCTCCGGGTGGTGACCATGATGTGACTTCCTTTTTTTGTTTGTTTGTTTGTTTTCTTTTAAGGGTAATTAAAATCTGAAGCAAAGAGGCCAAAGATTGGAAAAACCCCGCCCCGCCCCGCCCCGCCCCCCCACCTCTTTCCAGAACTGACTGCTTGAAGAGAACTGCTTTGGAATTATGGGAAAGCAGTTCATTGTTACTGTAATTGATTGTATTATTTTGTGAAATATTTCTATAAATATTTAAGAGGTGTACACATGTAATATACATGGAAATGCTGTAAAGTCTATGGCCTGGGGCCTCTCCGCTCCTGCCCCAGAGTGGGGAGACCACAGGGGTTCCCTCCCCCTGTGTACATTGGTCCCTGTGCTGCAACTTAAGCTTAACTTAGTTTTTAAAAACCCCCTCCCAGCATATGTCGCTGCTGCTTAAATATTGTATAATTTACTTGTATAATTCTATGCAAATATTGCTTATGTAATAGGATTATTTGTAAAGGTTTCTGTCTAAAATATTTTTAAATTTGCATATCACAACCCTGTGGTAGGATGAAATGTTACTGTTAACTTTCGAACACGCTATGCGTGGGTAATTGTTTTTAACGAGCAGACATGAAGAAAACAGGTTAATCCCGGTGGCTTCTCTAGGGGTAGTTTTATGCAGTTCTCATGGTGTGTGTGTGTGTGTGTGTGTGTGTGTGTGTGTGTGTGTGTGTGATTTCCCAACATACTGTACTGTGATTTTGTTGTTGTTTTGTTCTTTTCCCTTGTTTCTCTTTGTGTGACCTTAGCTCTGTCCAGCCTAGTCAAGCTGGGAAAGTCAAGGTCTCTTGTCTTGGTGCTGGTGGAAGGGTGGACCCGTCATGTGTCTTACTCTCTGGAAATAGTCCAGAGAGGCCAAACTTGGCTTCATGCCTGCGGCAGCTCCTGAGGTCATGGGTAGTCCCCTCCAGAGACCTCCCCTTGTGCTTCAAAGAGAATACATTCTCCCGGATCATAATGTTGGGTGTTAGGGCCTTTGTATAGGGACCCAGCAGTCTTCGCTGGTGGTGGATCTCAGCTGGATCATGAGAGAGATGACACTCAAGGGATGTGTGTAGTGGTCTTGCACCTTTCTGATGGCCGGCACATACACACAGCCTCCCACCCCCGTAACCCAGATACAGGCAGAAAAATCTATTTCATTCAAGGTCTACACTCAAGCCTTTACAAATCCGAATCCCTCACAGTAAATCGACTGCTCGGTTGGTGCATGCTGATGGCCGCTCAAGTCAGCTCTGCGGGGTGTGAGCTTCTGAAGGCGCTCCTCTGTGTGTTCTTGTCCTATGGACACACACACACACACACACACATACACACACCGCCATGTGATGTCCATGCAAGGGCAGTGTCTAGCTCTTCGAACCAGGTGTTAGATTTTAAAATATGATCGTGCTTCCTTTCCCTGAGGTTTAGACTTCTTTGCCTCTGGCCAGAGACTAGTAGATGGGGAAGCAGTATCCTCCCTTGTGAGTGTGAGCACTGAGGACTTGTGTCAGAGGAAGGGAGTTAGTGCCCACGGAAGCTACTGTGAGGAGTGCCTCCTTCAGTCCCTCCTATCCTGCATGGAAGTTTGTAAGGCAGTGGGGCCCCTAGTAGTACCAGCAGGCTAGTGATCTCAGACTAAAACTCATCCCCAAACTGTAAGGTACTAATTGGAAGCCACCAGTGGCTACCGTGTGTGTGGTGTGTGTGTGTGTGTGTGTGTGTGTGTGTGTGTGTGTGTGTGTGTGTGTGTGTGTGTGTGTGTAAATATGCCAGAGGCCCTGGCTACCCACTGCTACTGTCTTAATGCCTGTCAAGCCACTGTCTGCCTACCCCCAAACCAGCTCTGCTCGGATAGCTCGCACCCTGAGTTGAGAAGGGAGATGTAAAATTCTGAAGCCGCCTCCCTGCAATTCTTGGTTGTGTCCAGTCACTCCTGAGCCTCACTCGTGGCATAAGGAAGTTCGTACAGCCGTTTGGTTTCTGTGCGGCATGAGTTGCATCAGCCAAGGCAGGAAGGGCACAGAGCTGACAGGAGACTACAGTCTCGGAGTGCATTTATTGTCTGTCTGTCTGTCTCCTCATAGTTTTTATTTTGTCTGTATTGTTTGTTCATTTGGATGTTTTAATTTTTAAAAGAAAAGATCTTTGCTGATAATTTATAATTTTGTATCATAAGAATGTCCTCCAGAATTTGTCATGCCAGTTTATAACAACAAAAAAAAATATGCAGGGATTTTATTTCTATTGGAAACACTATTGCAGTTATGTTTTACTTTTGAACAGAATTTTTATTTGTATAGAGTGCTTACTAATGTTAAATAGTTCAGAGTATATAACATTTACATCAAGGACTCATGGTAGGTTTTAGTGTAAGGAGTTTAAAGGAAATAAATATTCAAACTGGGTCTCGTTGTCTGCCAAATTGGGTGGAAATGAGTTTGTGTCATTTCAATTACAAAGATGAAAGTATGCCATATAATTTATTTATATGAAAATTTATTTTTGTAGTGTACATAGTAGTCATCAAGTCTTTTGACAGAAGTATATTTTTAAAGAATTTATATGTAATGAAATCCGTAAAATGTCTGGAACTTTGTTGAGACATGAGTGTGGGGACACGTTCATTGCAAATGACAGCAAGGGAAAGGAAGCGTTTCACAGTGTTAAGAGAGTACAAGAGAGCAGCCATCCGTGTGATTGGGAAGTGTTGACGTGGGGCATTGTGACCTGGTTATTACGGTTCTCAGATGAAAATGTACAAACTCTCTAAATATTAATGTTCAAACACTGATAGAAATTCTAACATGAATAAAGATAATATAACTCGTTTGGTTTATGTGCTTGTTTCTGGAATGTTCCTTAAAGCGTACACGGAAGAAGCCCCTAGCCACCTGCTTCATCTTGCTAGCCTTGTGGAAGCTGTTTGTGTTCACTTTGTAAACACTGAGAAAGTTCCTTAGTGACCTTTTTTAAGTGAGCACTCCCTGTTCTTTCTTACCTTTCTGTGCCCGAGCTCAGGAAGTATGTATGGCCAAGCACAATCTAAACAAAATTATCTGGGAAGGCGGATCTGTTAACTTTTTAAGAGGGTCGCGCCGCTGTAACTCCAGCTCCAGGGGATATGATGCCCTCTTCTGACCTCTACTGGCACTGCATACACACACATGCACATGCCCACACATAGACACACACAGAGACTCGATTTAAAAATTTGAAGTATTTTAAATACAAGACACCAATTCTAACTGACCTAGTATAGGGTGGTTTTGTTGTTTTTTGAGTGTGATTTCATCATTGTCAACATGCTTAAGGAAAACGTGACTAGAAACAACATCTCTGTTTCGCTGTTTTTATTTTTTTTCAAGACAGGTTCTCACTATGTAGCTGTGGCTGTCCTGTGAACTCATTCTGTAGGCCAGGCTGACTTCAAACTCACAGAGATGCACCTGCCTCTGCCTCCCAAGTGCTGTGATTAAAAGGCCTGTGCCACTACTGGCTTACTTAATGGCTCTGTTTTTAATCACCTGTGTTTTTGCAACTACAGTAAATGAGAGGTCAGGAAGGATCAAACCAAACCATCCTAACCATGTGGGAAGTCCTAGAGACAGAGATCAGCCAGCTGCAGCCGAGACTGCCTCCTGGTTTTGTATGGATTTGTCAGGAGACAGCCGTATCTGTGTCTATACACACTGCTCATGGCTGCTTTCACACTATAATGGCCGAATGGACCGGCCTGCAGATGCTGAAATACTTACTCTGTGGCCTTTAGGAAGAAGCCTGCCAGTCCCTCTTAAGACAAGGAAGTGTTTGGCCAGTGCTACTCAAGTGTGGTCCATGAATCAGCATGCCTTGGAAGCCTGCTGGAAAAGCCAGAATCCAGTGCTGCTCCAGACCCACTAAATCAGAGCCTGTGGGAGGGAAGCCCTGACTAGCAACTCCAGTGGTTCTGAAGCACCAGCAGGAACAATCTCTAAATTCCTTCCAGGCGGATGTGGCCTTGGTTCCCTAATGCAACTCAGGCCGAATGGCCAGCACAGGCCAGATTCTGGAAACAACAGGGAGATCCTGACTCAAGTCTGTGTGGTCTTCCCACAAAAACACATGTTCCTCTGTGGGAAAGAGTCGAGACCTGTGAACTCTGCGTTTATGTCCGGGAGTCCAGGCGGAGGAATTCCCTTCCCAGTGTTCTGCCACACACATAGCTGTGAGTAGGGGCTCAACAGAGGCTGTAGGCCCGTGACAGAACACGCAGGGGATGTGGGGCCTTCTGTCTGCCTACCCTTCCTGCCTAGAGACTTCCCAGCATCTAGTTGGCCAACTCTGGAAGTCGCCTGTGTCCTCTGTAAACGAAATATGAATGCTTGAGGTTGGTGTCTGAAGGATAAGAATGGCGGTGGAGTCTTGGGTCACAGTGAGTGGGATGGGATCAACCACATCCCACACACTCTAAAGTGACTGTCCTACCCTGGACCCGAGTTCCCATCTCAGAAAGCCCTGCAGTGACCTCTAGTTGGGGCTGGCTGGACCAGAAGGATGCTCAGTCAGTAAAGGGCGTACTGTGCAAGCGTGAGGACCTGAGTTCAATCCCCAGGACCCAATTGAAAAAGCCAGATGCCACCTTGCTGAGGAGGTTGGGGACAAAAAGATCCCTGAGGCTTGCTGGGCAGCCTAGCTGATCAGTGAACCACTTGTAAAACAACAAGTGTTGTTCCTGAGAAACAACTGTGGCACTTTGTAAGGGAGCACGCTCTTTCCCTCTCCCTCTCCCTCTCCCTCTCCCTCTCCCTCTCCCTCTCCCTCTCCCTCTCCCTCTCCCTCCCTCCCTCCCTCCCTCCCTCCCTCTCTCTCTCTCTCTCTCTCTCTCTCTCTCTCTCTCTCTCTCTCTCGTCTCTCTGTCACACACACACACACACACACACACACACACACACACACGGAATCAAATACTCAGTTAATACAATGACTTCCATAATAGACACTGTCTAGGAAAAAGAAAAGTTTAGCATTGTTTTATGTCTTAACAACTGTATCTTCTCTCCTTCTGATAGAGTTAGTGACCTGTTCTTAAGCCCTTCTTTAGTGAATTTCATAAACAATGCTAACTTGGTTCCAGAATTCAGGTCAAGGAGAATGTCGACTCTCCAAATCTGGTCATGGGAAATGCTGCATTAGTTAGAACCCAAGCTGAGAGACGCTTTCATTGAGACGTGCTTTGTTCTACAAGATGATGGCTGATTACCATCCAGTTTTGTTTTTGTTTATTTGTTTGATTTTGTTTTGGGGGGTGTTATTTTGCTGTTGTTTGTTTGTTTTTGTTTTCATTCATTTGGATTTTTTTGAGACAGGGTTTCTCTGTATAATAGCCCTAGCTGTCATGGCATTTGCTCTGTAGACCAGACTACCCTCTAAAAATTCAAGAGTTCAACTGGGTTTAAAAGCTAGTTTTGAGTTTTTAACTTTATTTTTAACATTTGCTGTATACACGTAGATCAGGGACCAGCTTGTGGGAGTCATTTCTCTCCTACCATGTGGGCCCAAGGATAGAACGCAGGTCCTTCAGGCTTGGCAGCAGGCAGGCAAGCCTGCCATCCTGTCAGCCAGTTTTGTGTTTTATAATTGATGTAGAGCTAATAAGTGACTTCATTTTTAATTGCGCTGGCCTCGGAGGACAAGATTTGAATTAAACTGCCCACCAAGATCTGCTGTCTTTATTCAGGACCTAGGATCCATTCTCTCTTCCCTCTCCTCTTCTCTCCCCCCCCCCCTTTTCCTCTCTCTCCTCCCCCTCTCTCTCCCTTCTCCCTTTCTCTCTGTCTGCTCTCTCTCTCTCTTTCTCTCTCTCTCTTCCTTTCTTTCCATTTCTTTCCACAACAGCTACAGCAACTGGGAAGCACCAGGCCTCTGAACTACTCCAGGCACCAGCCATGCCACGATATAAAGACAGTTGTTTTGTTTTTTGGTAACTGACCTCCCACAAAAAAAAAGAAATGGATCTACTAATCAACTGAAAAGAACTTTGGCCGGGTTTTAATTGCTCTTAATGAAGGTTGTGCATAATGAAAACATACTGTAAGCACGAGTCTTTTTTTGTGTGTGTGGGGGGGGGTTATGAGACAAGGTTTCTCTGTATTGTTTTGGAGGCTATCGGTCCAGCCCGGCCTCGAACTCACAGAGATCCGCCTGCCTCTGCCTCCCGAGTGCTGGGATTAAAGGCGTGTGCCACCACCGCCCGGCGAGTCCTTTTTTTTTTTTAATCGCACACATAGTCATGATGGAGGATGTGTTGGACACCATTTTCTGCATAGGTTTCCTGCCAGGAAATTAGAACAACTGCCATCATGAATCTCTGTGAGAGATACTCTACTCTGTTCAGGTCATGGAACTTAGAGCTCTGTTACAAAAAAAGAAGTGTGCCCGACTAAGGTGACCCAAATCGTAACTGGTATGGCATGGCTGGGACTTTCCATTTGCCATGACTGACTGGAGGCTTCTCTGTAGAAGAAAGGGAAAGGGAACAGAGCTTACATTCTACGGGTATCCCTGCAGCCTGTGGATGCAGCCTCACGTGGCTGAGGAAGGCTAGCAAGCAAAATCCATGAATTTAAAAACATGATAACTTTTCTGTGAGATTATTCGAGGGTGGCATGTGCAATTTGACTGTGCAGGGTCTCCAGCATGAACTTCACAGATCACAATGTCATATTGCGATGTCGAGAAGTTGGGCGCACCGCTAGAGCAAACCACCATCGCACGGAGAGACACACAGTCCTTTCCCTAAGATGGAGTCAGACCTCAGCAAGCAGCAGTGCCTGCCTGCTGGGAGAAGCACGGGAAGCTCCACGGCACTCTATCTTTCCTGGAAAGTGTTATCTTAATTCATCTGAGGGTACCAGCACATGATGTCAGAGTGCGCAGTTAAGGGCAACAATAAAGTCGAGCAAGTTGCTCCTAAGATGAGCAACTGCAGGAAACGTCTCTATCAATTGACACCATCTTTACATGCATCGGACAACGGCTTGTGTTCTCCCGGAGAGCAGGGCGGGGCGGATAATAGCCTGTTCTATTTGTATAAAGGAAAAAATTATGTAGATGGAGGGAAGACTTGAGGAGCAAGTTCTGACTGGTGAGTTATTATATAATAATGAGGGCTGTAGGAGTAAGCCCAAGCTGAGATGCCAAGGACTCCTCTTGGTAATTACAAATGTGAGTCGATGGCAGAGACAGGTGGACTGGGTGTTGAAAGCTTCTGCAGCCAGAGGAGGAGCAAGACAAGGCAGGAACGGAGAGCAGCAAGAGGCCTTCTGCTGCAGACCAGGGTCGGGGAGGTGCCATCAGAGAGGAACAGGCCGGATGAGCAGAAAGCAAGGCCAACATATCCAAAAAAAGACCAGCGTGCCCTTCAAAGACAGGTCAAGCCAGGAATCAGTACTGACAATGACTGGAAGCATGCCAAAAGCTGGCCAAAAACCTGATGGAGGTCTCTGGTCTGCAAGATAGGAGGTAACCCATCATGCTTGAATTCTGAGGTGCATTTGCCCTTCTTGTGATGGGCATTTTTTTTTTTTTGCGCTTCCACACAGTTCCTACCTTGCCAAGCACCATGGCAAGGCTACCAGGGACCAAGATGTCCGACTCGACTCGTGGAAGGTTAAAACTGCCAGGGGCCCTTGATACTTTGTAACCTGGAGAATCACTTTGACTTGACTCTAACATAAGGCAATACCGACAGCAATCAAGGTAGACCGTTGAGATTAATCTGATGTTTGTGACCTCCTTGTCTTCATCTTCCCCTGTTTTAATATGTTAATTTCAAAGACATGGGGGCGGGGGTGGTGC